GAGTCGCGCATAACAACAATTCCTTGCGTTTGGTAAGAAAAAGTGATTGAATGCCCCTATAATGTAATTTTTTGCCGAGAGAGAGAGAGCTGCCTCGTTCGCTCGCTTCAGGCTCTCTCACTGCGGCAGCAATAAAGCTAAGTCGAAGACAAGAGAGATTTAGAATCATGTTTACCGTCCGATGCAACTTAAGTTGACAATTTCTCAAATTGACAAATATGGCGTTCCATTTCCGCCAAAATTCAATGTTCCATTTTGCATTGTACTTTGCACAATCTATCCTACATTTTGTGTTTGGCATTTGAGTTTGCACTCGCGATTCAACTTTTTTGCATTCAACATTCAACTTTGATTTATGCAACATTCAAGTTTTCGCTTTCGACATTCAACTTTTCAAAAGCAACAGTCAGGTTTTGGAATTCTACCTTCAAGTTCAGTGGAATGTACATTCATTTTCTCTCATCCAACATTTAGCATTTGTCCTTCAAGTTTTCGCTTCCGACATCCGACTTTGAGCATTGTACTTGCAAGTTTCCGCATTCGACATTCAACTTTTCGACTTTGACTTTTACCCGCTGGTCAGCGACCGATTAAGATCGTGGGCTCAATTGACCTGACCTACCCCCGCTCAAATGGTGGTCGAGAGACTTCCCAGTCGAGTGGGCTCGGGAGACCTTCTCCACTCCCGACAAACCAAACGTCGACAACATGGCCGACCGCCGGGATGCGGAACCATCAGCTGCTAGCTTAAGTGAAGTGAGAGCCACCCTGTTGAGGGTGGCTGACCGTTTGTCCTCGTTGGAAGAGACACCATCTCCAAGTAAGTATCGGGCAATCTTTGTCAAGTATGAAGAAGTTATGTGTTCAATAAAGTTCGCGCGTGAGCGCCGACACAACTTTACATGTACGCATAAATAGCGCCAGCATCATTTTGATCACTTCACGCGCGCTGCGTAATGGACGGCATCGATCGTAGAATGAAATATTTCCGAAAGGTTTTGCTTGCAATACTCTTGTCTTTGTGTTTTTACTCATTTCTTTATTTTGTGAGAATTAAGGAATGAATTTTGATTTGTTGCCCAGCAATCAAGAATCGGTCTGCATAAAACGCCACAGGCGCCCCAATCTCTGGCCTCCCATGCAGACTACACAAGCTCTTGTGTCTGAGCAATTCAAGTAATGTAAGCAATGGGTAATACAGAAAAAGCTACAGTGCTCGTACACCGTACATGCATTTATTTAATAATTATGTCACAGCTCTCTGTTGTTAAATTTTTTTGGATTGGCTGTTGAGAAGGTTCTGCTTGAATATATTTATTATTATAATTTTTTTATTTTTAGACAGCACCAGAAAGGTGCAACAGAATACAAATCCTTCTCCAGCTGCTTGTCTGTCTGCTTCTGTTGCTGCTGAACAGCGCAGGCTGTTCAGCCATGGAAACAATGCAAAACGAGCACGTTCTTCTGGCAGCTCTCTTCCAAAGTCCAAACGAAATGCTACATGTACTTTAAAGTTTGTGTGTCTAGCTGCTAAGGCAGACCGTCCACCAATGTCTGTGAAAGAAAGAACGGCATTGGCAAATGCTGGCTTGGGTGATGCTAGTATTACCTTTGGGTTTAACAAGAGCTCTGTGTACAATGGAATCATCCAACGATTTCCTCAATTGAGTGAGGTTGGGGGTTTTGACCTTCTGTTGTTTCAGAGAGGTAATGGGGAGGGTGCAGGGTTCCATAGAATTCTTCCCCCACACACACCTCAAAGGCTGAAGGAGTTATGTGGCCAAGCAAAAATTTTCATACGACCTCTCCAAAAGGACATTGAACTTGATGACAAAGGTGGAGAAGATAAAGAAGATGTAAGTTAGATAGCAGAAATTAACAAGCTACAATAGTAGTGTCAGTGACTCTTTTCGCTTTATTTCTTGTTCAATTGGTTTTGTATTGTAATTAGCTGTGTGTTGGATTAATTAGGAGGAGAGCATTGTTGGTAATGTTTATAATAAAACAAATTATTTGTTGACTTTACTGATGAGAGTATATATGTGTACGTGTATGCTTATTAAAGTTAAATTTATAAGTTTGTTCTTTTAACCTGCCCATGGGTTTGTTATATATGTACAGTATATTAAATTCAGTCTGGAATATACATTATAGCAAACTTCATTATTTTCTTACTGTTAGATGTAGACGCTATAAGTTAAAATGAAATTCAGATTACAATGGTTTCAGTCTTTGTATTTCTTTTCTTTTTTAATTTTATTTGTCTCATGTTCAAAAACATTTTTCAGAACAAAGGAAATCCTAAAACAAACTGTAGCTGAAGAACATTTTAACATGATTTACATTGTTGATACACTTCAATTATGTGTGTATTTTTAACTACTGCTTACATGTATGTTTGTTGATTTGCCTACCCTTCTAAATGATTATTTAGGTTGACAGTGATGTTCCTATGATTAACTGTTTTACCTGTGGTGCTGCTATTATCATGACGGATATGCAGGAGCACCAGGAGACTCACCAGCAAGGAGAGACCAAGCAGCCTGAAGATGACTTTGAATTCAGTGCTGGTCAGTACATTTAGCTTGCTGAGTATCATGATCCATACTCTTTGTATCTTATTTATGTCATAAATAATGTGCAAATGTAACTAAGGCTTGAAAGTACAATTCAGTGAATACTTGAACAGCGGAAGAACTTTCTTCTTTGTTATATGACGTTATGACACCTTTAAATTACAATCATGTTTAACTGAGGAGAAAGGCTCTTCAAATCTTACATCACAAAGTTCACCTCCTTCCTGGGGGGAGGGGAGGATACTTTAGGAATTTCTGGGTGCGGATGTGCTGCTGGGACGCTGGGACCCTTAGCCTATACCAGAGCTAGTTCAGCTGAATTTTGCTACTTTATTGTAGACTACTATCCTATAGTAGTTTTGTAGGCTAAGTTTTGCAAAGTCAAACATGCTGATTTGATTTTTTATATATATTTTTGCGTGTCAATTCCCAGTTATTCTATTGTAGACTAAAACTTTCAACCAATTTCTGGAAAATAATACCCTATTCTAGACCCAAACTCTCTGATTGATATACCCTATCCCAGAGTAAACTGCTTAAAAACCATTACCCTCCTGAATGGCACATACTTATTTGTGGCAAACATACATGCCAGTACCACCCCCAGGACCTCCTCCCTTAGTGGATGTATTTTCTGTTATCTCATATTTGAAGTAGAGTGCTGTAAATAAAAGGAACTCAAAACCCACTCAGTAACATTATGTTTTTTAAAGACAATGACAGTAACTGGGAACCTCCCCCAATGCTCCAGCCTTCTCAGTCACAGAAGCAGCAGCAGGATGAAGGTGTGTATTGCAAGGGGACAAGATCCAGCAGAGTAGTATTCATCATAACTTCATAAGTCGTGTCATAATAAAGCTTTCCCTGTATTGGAAGTAAATTACAAGGATCATATGGCATGCCATTGGTGCCAAAATTATGATGCAAATTTTTAATATAAAATTTGTTTTTTCACATTTTTTTTCCTATAATTTTGGGGTACACACATACCTTGTTAGAAACAGCTTTGTAGGATGTATACTTAAGAGTTTTGAATTTTTATGACGTCATGTGCAAACTGAGAATAGGCACGTACAATAAGTGTGGCTCTATAAGAGGGGTGGGTACTTGAATGGTTATCCTTAAGTGTTCTGGTTTTAATACTATTGAAAGCACAACATGGTATTAAATTTAATAATCGCATTCCTAATTTTGTGTTGGTTGCCCTTTGCCTTGCATGCAGAAATATTTGAGATTTTTTGGTGTCCACACTTCTGCTTGGCCGCCCATATTGCTTTTTTCAGGGGCTTTCTTCCATTGGAAACCTTCGAACACGTCTCCATAATCTCTGATTGCTACTACCGGTAGTTTTAGAATTACAATTTGTTAGTTAAAGCTAGGAGAAAAATTCACACAAAAGTATGTCTGTATGCATGACCTTTCCCCTTCAAACTACCATGCCAATAATAGATGGCCAACCAACTGCCAAAAATAAAGCAAATCCAAGCAAAACCAAGAGACATCCAAATATTCAACTTACAACTTTTTTTGCACCCAGCCCATACAGGTACAAGTACATCATTGCACGAGAGTCCCATCAGCACATTGGACAATCAAACAGATGAAGATGACTTAGATTCCCTTGTCAGCATGTTTCCAGACAAAGACAGAAATCATCTTAGGAGAGTGTTGAATAACAACTTGTCTTTGCAAGATGCCATAGATGAACTCCTTTGTTCCACTCAACATTCAGTACCCAGTTTGCTTGGTGAGGTCCTTTTTTGCAAATATTTTACAGTTGAACCTCTCCTTACAGATGCCTTAGTCTAATGAATATGGGCACCTCTCTACAAACTAGAATAAAGGTTTTACATCTGGTGAAAGTCTTGATTTGTAGAGTTTTAATGGACTTGAGAAACAATGTCTTACATTTTGCACTTTTTAAAACAGTTTCTGAGTTCTAAATTGGGTTTAGTGGCACCAATGTAACAAACATCCAGTGTTACATGTACCATGGCAACAAAGAAGAAACTACCTTAACAAGGGTCATTTTTGAACACCCCCCGCCCAAAGGCCTTTCTGCATGCAAAATATGAAGGGGGGGGGGGGGGGGGGTCAAAAATTTTCATTTCCCACTTTTCTTGATTCTTACAGAGAAGTGCTCTTAAACACATTTTATTTTCCTAGAGTCTGAGACAGCCTGCAAAAGTGTGAAAAGCCTACCTGCAGCCTTGAAAGCACTTGGAAAGAAAATTGTTGGTGATAAGGTGAAAGTTAAAGTAGACCAAGAGGATATACTTTCTGATGCACTTGTTATCTACAAGAGCAGCTCATTTGACCCGACATGCCCTCTCATGATCCAATACCGCATGCAACCTGCAATTGATACTGGTGGTGTGCTGAGAGAGTTTTACACTGATGTATTCCGGGAGTTTGTGGTTAAGCCAGGGATGAGGTTGTTTGAGGGTCCACCAGAGAGGTTACAATTTTGCTACAATCATCAAGCTTTGACCTGTGGCCTACCAAAAATGCTTGGTACCATGATAGCACATAGTTTATGCCAGGATGGACCAGGGTTTCCATATCTATCACCTTGCAACTATTATTACATAGCTACTGGCAATACTGAACATGCAGTAGCATATGCGACAATTGCTGATGTATTTGACACTGAGGTCAGAGAGTTTGTTGAGCAGGTATTTAGCAAGTAGAAATGAATTATTTGTCACTAAAGCAAATAGCTTGTACAATGTAGGTAATATCAAGACGTTGTTATGTGGATTCTGTGTTTTTTTATGCCTTTGTAATATACTCTCAAGTATTATTAAATTTAAACTGAGTGGAATGTGTTTTACATCTTTGATAAACAGTTCCTGGTAAGTCAGTCATACTGGGGTGATTTTTGTGACCCATTATATTTAATGAAATGTTCTTAACCTTTGGTACGAAATACTTGTATGAGTGACATTTGGAGCACTCAGAAAATAAATCAGTTCATAATTATTGTTTGGATTTTTCATGAGATTTCATTTGGTATAGAAATTCAAAAACAAATTCCATGTCTCATTTCTTTATAGGTCTCCACTGCGAAGAAAGAGGATCTAGGTGCCATCAATAACCACCCAAACTTTCTTACAATTGCTTCTGAATGTGGCCTCTCATGTTTAGTGACAGTGAGTACTGCTATTGACATCTCTATCGGAATGTTGCGTAAACTAGTTCCCGAGTACATGGAGGTATCCAGGAGACAACTGTACACATTCAAAGGCCCTAAACTATGAAGTTTAGGAAAAATTAAGTAATGAGATTTAGCAAACCAACCCCTTAGTTACAGGGGCTAAAATAAGATTGAATCTGCTGTGGGTGGGGTGAGTGCCAGTACACTACCATGGGGAATTCTAGCTAGGGCTAACTTGCAGTCTGTAAGACGTAGGACCTAGTTTAGAACTAGTTTAGTTGCAAGACATTGGTGTTTTAACAGTGAATGGGTTCATTTTGACTTTTCAAGAATGTTTACTTGTTGTAGTTTGCCATTCTGTTTAGTTTCTTCATTTAGGTTTTTAAAAAACTTATGAGATTGCTCTTTGTTGTCGATAGGAGGAGAACCAATTGCTTGTTACCCAAGCAATAATTGGACACCATGCTGTTGTTCGACGAGTGGCAATGATGGATCAATTTTGCTGTGGATTAAACACTCTTGGTGTGCTACAAGAGATCCGGAAGCTTCCTAGTGAGTTTCAGAAATTATTTGTTCCCTCCCTTGCTTTAAAGACTCCATCATATTTGAGAGGGTTGCTGAAACTGCCAGTCGATGGAAACGAGAAGTGCAAAAAAGTTGTTGACAAGCTCCTTCGTTTTGTCGATGAAAGCTCAGAAAATGGTAAGATGGCTCATTAATTAGACTGCGTTAACATTCTAAGGAATTATCACTGTAAGAGTATATCTACCCTGAAACGTTTAAATTTGCAAATAAGTATGACACTACTCCAGTCGGTGCTGAACTGGAAAGTGGACATGCAAAGCACCATATGTTTTCAAGTGTCCCAGACACCATTGTGCCTTCCATTAGTATCAGTCTGCTACATGTAGTTATTGAAAAGTTCTGAGCTAAAACCATTTGTGACCTTGTTAACAAGTACCTGTAGGCTCGGAACAAATATTTTATAACTCAAAGGTAACTAACATATCCAGTTGAATAAAGCAGTTTGATTATTACGGGAATCATATTGTGAGCGCATTGAAATTTCAAATGTATCATTTGTAATTGGTAAATGAGCTTGGCTGCAGGTCTTTGTGACCTCTAGATTTCCAACTTAAAGATACAAGCCGTGCTTTAGTTTAGGTTATTTCTTTCAGGTAGGATAAGGAATCATAAAACAAAACTTTTCTTCTTAAAAAAGATCGGACGTTACAAGCCAATATCAATGCCATCTCTTAGTTACCACAACACTACTAATATATTTGCAAAGTAACGCAACTTGGAGATACAGACAAGAACATTGTAAAGAAACATTTCATGAGATAAGTTAAACTCTTAGTACCAGTTTTAGCACTTTGTACAACACTAAAGACTTCCATAATCAGTCGAAGCTCTCACGTGAAGTGCCTCTGATTAAATGTTTCATTTGCTTAACTTCAGCTATCTCGGTTCTTTTTCAGGTATCACTGAATTTCTGAAGTTCACTACAGGAGGCTCTACACCACCTCCAACTGACATTTTTCAGATTGTAGTAGAGGTTTCTTCGGAAGCTTCAGCTATATTTGCGTCAACCTGCCTACGCAAATTAGTTCTTCCCGAATCCTTGGCTGAAGAAGATGACAACGAATTTCGTTTATGTCTAAATTCAGTCATGGATGGCAAGGGAAATGCCTTCAGTGCCCCATGAAAAAAAAGAAACAGCAAATCTCAATGCTATGCCTGCCAACGTTTTTCTAAGTCTATAAGGCGAGAGATTGTTATTCTGTGAGTGCCGAGATTTTTGAAGAGGACGCACCATATCTGGAGATTTCCGAAGACGTTCCGAATAAACACAAAACAACAACAAAACAAAAGCGAAACACAACCTCGTCCCCAGTGCTTTTCCCTTCAAAAATTCGTGGAAAGTACTGTCTTTTAATCATGTTACATGAATTTTTCGTTTCTCGCATTAAATTAGTTTACATATTTTTCGAAAGGGTATAAAGGCGCGAGAATTGGCAGGTATACAATTGGATTTCGAGCTGCTATGAAAGAATACCCTGAGTTCCTTGAGGCTCTCTTTATCCCCAGCAAGGAAGAGTTGAATGCAGATTCTGTCATTGGCGTGCTTCAGTTCCCTAAAGATATGGATGACAATGAAAGTGTAGTAGCAGGTTACCTTCACATGTTTATACAGAATGCAAAGGTTGACACACTGGAAAAATTTCTCTCTTTTGCCACGGGTTCAAAGGCTCTTCCCGATTTTGGCCTGGGAAAAATTCAAGTGAAGTTTGATAGGGTACCGGCTATCTTTGCATCAACATGTTTGTTTCACATTACATTTCCAAATCAATTCGAAGACCAAGATAGCTTAAGTTTGTCACTAGAGGCAGTCATAAATACTACCACAGGACAGTCATTTAACTGTGTGTAACTACAAAGTTCAGATGTTGTATTTTGCTCTGACTACAAGCTGAGTATTTTTTTGGACATCAAATTACAACTTCCTTTAAGTGATGAGTCTACATTGTTAAAGTTACATCTTGTTGTATACATTGTTGACATTTCGAGTTTCTTGTTAGTAACAGGTCAAGGCTATTTGCTCATTAATATTTTCTGCTGTCACTGTTGCTGTTGCTAAGGACAGTTTCTAAACATCCATACAGAAAACCATCAAATCCACAAAATGGACTTGCACACACCTACACATGAAGGAAGATCAATAGATGGTTATATTTGCGCAAACAATTCATGTTTTTCTTTTCACGTCTTTTAGAAGCCCAAAATGATCATTTCACAATCCAGGGTCAAGCATGGTTTTAATGCAAATCACAATGTAATAAATATTTTACCTCATACATGTATGAAAACTCCTTAGCAGCAACTCCAGATCGGTATATGTAGTGAAGTTTGTCCCCTTATAACAATGAAGTGTTTCTTAAAATGAAAGATGGATCCTTTAATGACAACTTGTTCCAACAAAGGATAGTCCTCATACACTGTAATGTATGGTATGGGTTTTTATTTGAACAACACAGTCACTGTAGCATTTCTGGACAAATAATAATTATCCCAGTTGTTGCAATTTATTGTTCCAGTTCTGAACATGTAAGATTACATGTCAAAAGATTAAAAGTAGGTTGAAAAAAATTATTGTTAGTTTAAATAAATATATGACTTGTTTGTTTTTTGTTTGTTCCTTTAGCGTTACTTGACTGACTCTTGATGGTGTTTCCTTTACAATAAGTTAGTGATTTGGTTGAATACTTCAACCCTCTCTAAATATGTTAAATTGTCTGTAACTGGTAGGAGATGCATTTCCTCCTCAGTGAATGGGCAGTTTGTGTCCGGAACTTCAACATAACCAGGGCATTGTTCTGGGATGGGACCTTGCCAGTCAATCCCATGGTTGCTATAATCGCCCTAAAAAGACATTAATGATTATTGTAAGTCATTTGTTACATACGTGCTGCCAAAGCAGTAACCAATGCTGGGCTGAGGATAGAGATTGGTGATCATCATTATTACTTATTACATTTTTGACACAAGTAATGCTGATGAAATGAAACCAAACATGTTACATACCTGGAACACTTCACCTTCAGGACCAAGAAATCCCCATGCCTCTTGCAGTCCACTAATCCATAACTGCATGGGCGTTCTGTTTCTTTCTGTACGTAATGGATGGTGAACCCATGCATCTTTCCAATTTCTGAGATGTCTGTTGATGATAGGCACGAACACGTAATGTAGGCACCAGAGGTGACAATCATCATCTGCATTTAACACATCCTGGTTTTCTAGGGTATAGAAGAGTTCATAGAAGAGGCTAAGGCAGCCCCCATATAAGTCTCTCCAAAGGCGTTCAATCCTTTGATTGTGTGTGCTCTTTCCTAGTGATTGCAAAGAATATAATTTTATAGATTAATAAAATTTTAGTTTACTTAATTAACTGTTAAACATTATCTAACAATTGGTGTCAAATTCCCCCGCTTAAAAAAAAGGAAAGAAAAGGAGAAAAGAAAGAATTCTTTAATAGTCTCTTGATTCCTTCCGGGCTTAATAGTTTCTTCAATTACCATCATACTTAAAACAAGTCACAACCGGATTTGGGAGCATGGCAGTCACCATGCTCATTCTTAACAACACACATAAGCATTCATGAAAACAGTTCCCCTTAAACTAATTTAATGAAACTTGTGAGTTATTAATAGTAATATAATACTATTCATACAGCATCATTTCTCCTTGCCTAAAAATCATCAAGATTAGTTCATGATCCCATAAGTACCTATTTCATTATATAAAATGTAGCATCCTTTGTTAAAACCTATTCAGGATCTTAAAGAATAGCCTGAATTCAAGATCCCATCTATTACAAACCCAGAAAAGGTCATCTAGCTAAGGAAAGATAGATTACAAGTAGTCCCCATTTTTCTTAACGGATAGTAGGATTGAGTGAAACCGTGCATCATAAAAATCATCCCACGCGAGAAAGGAGAGACGCGGCGGGGAGATGCGCTCTACTATCCCTGAGGAAAAATGGGGATTACTCATAGTCTAACCTAAGGAATAATGATGCAGTACTCTGTACCTGTTATTATACTTCCCCTGCCTGGCCCTCGCTGGATGTGAGTAAGCATATAGGTTGCTACATCTACGTTTTCCCCTCCTTTGTCAGAGCGGACCCGAGATGGAAGGCCGTACTCTGACACAGCTTCACGAAAACATGAAAGAACAGTCCTTGCTTTGTTGTCATTTGAGGCCTTCAAATAGACTGGGATTCGAGAAAAGCCATCGATTCCGCCATGTATAACAATTCTCCATCTGTTAAAAAACCCCCTTAATTTACATACAAGAGTGACAAACAAAAAATAAAAGTTCCTGTTAGGGCAACCTTATCATGTCTGGTGTTACCTGCTAGGGGTTAAAAAAGATGGGGACAGGGAAACAGTATATCAATCATGATCAATGTCTTCAATTGTAGCTAAAACACAGTTTAAAAAGGCTTAAATTAACTGGTGTTGTGGCCACAGTTTAGTGTTTCCTTTTTGGTTCAGTCAAGGTGTGTATGTTTACAGGAGGTATCGAGTAGCAGAATTTTGATTGTGTTTAACTTGGACCCACGCACAAGATCACGAGGGGAAACTATGACAATGTACACTGTACAACAGGTATCTTTATCAGTACCTTATCAGCTTATGGTTCCCATCTATGTGCCATAGTGAGAGTGGATACCTAACATTGTAATGTCGCCTCCTGGTGGTACTTCTCCATCTCTCCATAATACCAATGGGATCTGTTCGCAACAGGGATAATCTTATTCTTTCTCGCTGAATGCGAAACCCTTTGCTTTGTAAATAACCTTTGAGCATTCTTATACCCATTCCAGGATGCTGGCTTGAAGCAGTTTGAACGAGCTCATCCAGTTGGTTGTCTTCTATATCACTGAACATACCTGAACCAAAGCAATATAATGGGGTAAAGAACTTTCATTGTAGGTGTTGGGTAATGAATAGTAATAATGATGATGGTGATGATGATGATGATGATAATAATAAAAATAATAACTTTATTTTAGTATGATTTTGTCATAAATCTTAAGCTAGGTAGAATGGTGAACAAAATTTTAGTTCAAACACTTCTGTGTGTTTTACTAATACTGGGCATCCAGATATGTAAAACTGTCATAATAATAATAACATTCTTCAGGCCTGAGGCTACACTTGACATTGCAACTTTTTCTCAGTCAAGCTACCCCTGAAGTGTGAAAGGTCAACAACAATAAAGATAATGATGGTATAAGGAAAAATCTATCATTTATGGGAGTGGATCCCTAGGTAAAAGTAAGTGGAAGTCAACATTTTAATTTGCAAATCTTAATCACCACTGCTTGGTGCAACAACTATCAAGATTACTTTTTTATAGCCTTAATCCTGTACTAAATATTATCATTTTGTTATAAAAATTGTCCTTGTAGTAGTTTATCATCTCATTAAACAAAAATAAAAGATTCATGTTACTTTATACCTGATACACTCAACCCAAATGTTGACATCCTCCTCTCAACTGTCCTGGCACTCACTCCAAGGATTTTACTCATGTCACATACTTTAAACCCTTGCTCAAGTAAAAAATGAAGCTGTTCCTCGCTGATTTCATATGAAGGTCTCCCTCGTTGCCCTCTACTATTCAATGGAGCTTGATATGCATAGTTAACAAGGTTTCTTTGATCAATTTCAACCAACATCCTGTAAGCATGTCCAATCAATTCTGTGACTAGTTCATCCACATCGAGGCTGACAGCTATTCTTTGCAGAAAATCCAACTTGAAAACTATTGGTTGGAAATCTACTGATGGATCTGCAGACCCTGTAAATCTGTCTATAGCACTGATGATATCCAAGACAGCTGAATTTAAATAGGCTTTGTCATCAGACATCTGCTGGATCAAATATTTGAGTAATCTCAAGATGAAACAAATTCATCAATTAACAGCACTTACCGCATGATAATACAATTTCTGGGGGAATATTTAAGCTACTTCTACATGAGAAATTTCTGCAATTTGATTGGCTTAGAGCAGTGGTATTTCAGCTTAAGCTTAATTTGAAATACTTACATTTTTAAATTACAAAACCTTTGCAGGTAGTAGTATAAACAAATAATAGCATGATGTGTACGTGATTTTTGGTATAAATACTACTTGTGACATTTCAAAATTGTCTCAAATTTCACTCGTGAAATTTCAAATATCACTCGTGGTATTTATGTTAAATATCACTACAAAACATGCTTTACCTTTTCAAATTAAGCTGAAGAGATGCAAACAGGTAGCGCGTTGCCTCCCTGTTTGTGTCACGTATAGTGTCCCACTAAAGAAGGCAGAAGTCGGTTGGACAACACTCACCTCCCTCGAAGACTGTGCAGCAAACTGGCGATCGGCCATGTTGTTGTCGACGTTTGGTTTGTCGGGAGTGGAGAAGGTCTCCCGAGCCCACTCGACTGGGAAGTCTCTCGACCACCATTTGAGCGGGGGTAGGTCAGGTCAATTGAGCCCACGATCTTAATCGGTCGCTGACCAGCGGGTAAAAGTCAAAGTCGAAAAGTTGAATGTCGAATGCGGAAACTTGCAAGTACAATGCTCAAAGTCGGATGTCGGAAGCGAAAACTTAAAGGACAAATGCTAAATGTTGGATGAGAGAAAATGAATGTACATTCCACTGGACTTGAAGGTAGAATTCCAAAACCTGACTGTTGCTTTTGAAAAGTTGAATGTCGAAAGCGAAAACTTGAATGTTGCATAAATCAAAGTTGAATGTTGAATGCAAAAAAGTTGAATCGCGAGTGCAAACTCAAATGCCAAACACAAAATGTAGGATAGATTGTGCAAAGTACAATGCAAAATGGAACATTGAATTTTGGCGGAAATGGAACGCCATAGACAAATGGGCTGCTCTAAGCTGGTAAATTCTTACGAAGGAAACTGACACGAAACGTGCTAATTTGTCCGTAAATGTAATCAACTGAAATCGAAACGTGTGAGGAAAACTTGGTCAAGCGGTAAAATTGACGTTGATTATTCTTAATCTCCCTATTTCTCGAAAGGGTGGAGCACTAACTGGTCTCAAGTGTTCATGTGTGGCGCTCTTTTACAAGTAGACTATTCGTACAAAAATGTTGGACTGTATGAAGAGAGTCCATGTATATGTATTACCTATGCCCAATTAAAAATCAATTAAGAATTTTTCCTGAGAAAGTACAGTCCCTAACTGAAAACTAATGGGGAAACATGGCCAAAAACGACAAAAACAAAACAAAAAACCCTGATAGATACAAGTGATGCTTCGTTTTTTCCTCCAGAAATATTTATTTGTGCTTTTTATCTCTTTTAGGGAACTGCGATTTCAATCATAATTCCCTGTGCAGCTGGAGGGATGAGAAAATACTGGATCACTTTGACTGGCAAATAAGAAAAGGACCTACTCCAAGCTATAACACAGGACCGACAAGTGACAATTCAGGTGAAAACAAATTTAAAATTTTTAACACTGCTTCAATGCAGGTTTCAAGTGAGATGTTTTCACGGACTTTCAGCACCCGATCTTCTCCGACTTTATCTTCATCATATATTAAACAATTATTACGTGAGGTTTTTGTGATATCCGCAATAATCAAAGTCGAGGTAAGTGTTATCAACCGAACCGAAGGCCGAGGCTGATAACACTTTCGGAGACCTTGATCATTTAGGATATCACAAAACCGAATCTAATAACTGTTTCATTTTACATTGTTTTAAAGACAATATTGACAAACACACCGTCGCAAGGAACCTTAATTGATACGATTGTTATTGGAAATCATGCCTTGCGCGCGTAAATTAGTCAGTTATCCGCAAATAACTAACAAATCTGTAGCCTAGGTTCCGCTGATTTCCAAAATTAGCTGTAGGCTCTTAGCCAACGAAAAGACAGATAATGAACACAATGTATAGTACTTTTTCTAATCTCCCTCCCCTTTTGTATAAATAAACGTACAAGTATCTGAATTTTCAGCAAAATCCAAGATATCACCCATGTTAAGTTGAGTGGCAAGTTTGTAGTAACGTCATGCCCTTATTGCTTGTTTCTTCGTCCGAAGAGAGTCCCTTTATTGTTTCACTCATGATAAAATAAGCCATATAAAAAGCTGGTTTAATCGCTTAAAGACTTCTTACAGTGCTTCAAGAAGCCACTGTTTTGGTCGCCATGTCCAGTAGGAAAGACTTTTTATAGTCTAAATTGAGATCGTTATACATTTGCATAAGACATGATTCATGCTCCCATAATTTCCTGTTTTCACCCAGAGAGCATAAGATGTCGCGTACTCCTCCAACTTTAATTGCGATGGTTCAGCAGAAATTTTGACTATTACCGTTATCATTTCAAGTAATTGACCACTCCAGAAAATATCAGAACATAAAATTTTGCATAAGCATTGTCTTCAGTTTCTCTTAGGAGTTAAAATAGCCGCAAGAGAAACTGGAAAAAATTTTGGGGTGACAAACAGAAGCATTATATGGTATGTTATGGTAGTTCTGGAGTGGTCAATACAGGGCAAAGGGTCTTAGAGCACTGATTCATTAAACAATGTCAAGATTTTCTTTCTTTGAGCTAATTTGTTCCCCACAATTCCAAGGAAACGGATCATATATCCACATCGAAACGTCTCTCCCTCGAAAGTACAACGAGAGAGCCTGGCTAGTAAGTCCTTGGATAACAGGCGCCAAGCGTATGACTTTTTTCTACTCCATGTATGGGGACACCATCGAGTCCTTATCTCTGTTGGTCAGATCTAGAGTCAACGGTAGTGCGTCCAGAGTCTGGAGTCGTTATGGAAACCTTAAGACAAGCAATTGGACAGAGGGATGCATTGCTTTTAACTATTCCGGAAACTACCAGGTTGGATTACGAACTCGTTATACAATGTTCACGCGTGTTCTTCTAAATTCCAGTATTCAACATTAAATACAAAAACACAAAGTAACTTATTACTTAAGTCCTACTGATCTCCACCTCCCATAAAAAGCTAAAAGTTTACTCATGTTTATCAAAACCATATAATACAATACTGAACATATAACAACCGCCAAAGTTGTTTATTAATTAAGAGCTACTGGTCACCACCTTAAGGAATTCAGTATCAAGTACACCAATGAATTTTAAAAGTTGCGAAATGTCTGGATTACCTGGGAAAGGGAACTAATACAAACGTGCTGGGGCTGTCTACATTTTTGATGATAGGTCAGAACTTACAATAAATACATGTACTTTGTATACCAATTCTATCTAAAAGGGAATCATGGTAGGAAAATGCATACTTATAATTTTTCTCAGAAAATAGGACATTTGCTGGTGGACAGGTGCTTCATTTTGAAATATTACATCTTTTCTTAATTGCTTACTCGAAGAGCGATGCAGTACGTTCTGTATGTGTTAACCATTTCAGGTTATAATCGAGGGTACAGCTGGTCTTTCGTACACAGGCGACATCGCTGTCGATGACATAAGTTTCAGTAGCAACTTAACATGTGGTACTGGAATGAAACTCCTCTATCCTCAAATGTTTGGAGGTATGTTTTCGTCGATCCCCAATCTGTGGCGAAGGTCTCTCGAGGTAAAACTTTAATTTACAACACTAACAATTTTGTACACGTACTGTTTCTTCGCAATTCAGTGCCCTCGGCGTTTATTTAAAAACCTGCATATTCACCCCGGCATTTAATCGCAGGGCGGCGCTTATAACGAGGTGCCGAATGCAATTTCAATATTTATTTCTAACAAACAAAACAGCGAGTAAAATGAGAAAAGGTAATCTGTTTGTCATTTACATTGGCTTACAAACAACTGCCACCACCACCACCACCACTACTAAATTTATAACCCTAACCATCCCTCCATCAATATTGGGTTCCTTGCAATGCCGCCACCACTTCAACCACCACAGTTGTTAGTTTTCCTGCGTCGACACCACCACATTTCTATTGGGTTTTTCGTCTACCACCACCACCACCACATTTATAATGCTTTGCCTCCGCTGCTACTAGCACCATTACAAATCTATAAACCTCTGCAAGCCTCTACGAATAGCCAATTTTTCATGGCTCGCGTACTGAAGACTCAGCCGTGGTTTCCTTTAATTTTAAGCTGTTTTTCGTGCTCATCCGGGCAAGTTTCTCTTTCAGACACCCACTCCACAACAATCAATGTATTAAACCAAATCCTGTAAAAGTTCGTTAAGGAATATATTTCCAACCCCCAAGAAAATAATACTGAGGAAATTACTGTCTTAAAAGGATGCTCATAATAAACTATGACATTATCGATGTAAACGTAACGAGAAAACTTTTAAAACTTGATAAACCATATTTTATTCATGATATCAAGGAAACTAACGATTAATGAATTCCTGCCCTCTTTAATGAGGTTCCTTCCAAAAAGGGAGTTAAACATCCCCACTATACTAATTGAAGGCTCTTCACGTATTTCTCTTGATACCTTTATTTGGGAGGCTTTCTCAAGCCGACATAATTTTTAGCACTCTGTCAACACAGTTACGTCTACATCTTAGAGGTGCCTTAATTCGTCAATCAACAGTTATCTCATGCTACATCTGTCCATCTAATAAGAGAAGGTCATTGCAGCCTTCTCAAGAGAGTATTTCTACAATTATAAAAAAAAAATGACCAAAAGTAAACGCCGGGGGCGTTTAACTCAAAATAGGCTTTGTTGAGTTTGCGTTTAATCGGGGCCTTACGTTTCATCAAGAAAATAAGGTAAGAGTTGTTGGGATTATATTTACACTGGCCTCTCTGTTGTTACCTTTAATAGTGCTATTCATTTATTAGTATTTTTTCGAAATTTTTATTCCAGCAAACTGTTCCTTTAACAAGAGTTTCTGCGGATGGCGGAAAGTTGCATGGGACACTCAGTTTCATTGGTCCATAAGGAAAACCAGAACCCCAAGCTACGGAACTGGGCCCAGATCCGACCACACTGGTATCTAAATATGTTCCAAACACGTTTTTTAGACAATCAGAGATAGAAACATTATCAACAATTTTTTATTGAGGCTGACTATAACATGAAAAATTTTGCGAACGAGATGGGTGTCCTTGACCAAGGCGAATAACACCCTTCTTCATATCAACAAGTTCGAATCCAATAACTGTTTTAACCCTCGGACGTACACGCAATCAAATTCATACCCCCACCGTGGTACAAGCCGGGGGTGGATGGAACCCCTACCGGGGGTTTTTGATATGTTGCAGTATTTTAAAACGGTTTTACCATTAGTGGAAAGCCTTTGATCTTCTTAACAAGATGAGGTATATTTTAGGGGTGGTGACGCTGCTGGAGGCCTCTGACGTCATCAACAATGGTCGCCATCTTGACCGCCACCTTGGATTTTACCAAGAATTAGAAATCAACTTAAAACCGCGAGAAAAGATAATTTTTTGTGCTCTGTATGAAAAATAACACATAAATAAGCACTTTGCATGATTTTAGTCAGAAGATTTACTTTTGTTGTTGAAAAAAGTTGAAAAAAACATGTATTTTCACCCAAAATTGGCTTGACCACCTGCTACTTAAGACGTCATATCTCGGAACCATAGCAACTGACCATCACTAAAGTTGTCTCAAAATGTGCGCGGGGGATGAACAAGCAGCTACTGAAAACGTCAGGTACTGATGTTTTATCCTCTAGGAAAAGATTCAGAAAAAAGTTATGGGGGTTGGCATCCTCCCCCCTCCCCCGCCTTGTACGTCCGAGGGTCAATAGTTAATCACTCTTACCTCTATCCAAGTAAAGTGCCCGTCTCCGTACCATTCGGGTTCCCGGCAGTTTCAGTATGAAGGGGTGTTTATTCTGTCAGACATTTTTCAACTAGCTGTTGTTATCTGTTGATTAGTATGTTTGCTATTCTTACTATGTTCGGGGGAAGTGGTCCGGATTTTTTTTTCTTCCCATAATTGATGAAATCTTACGCCATTTTGTCTTGCTACGCTACCCTGCCTTCCGCTACCCCCCTTTTCTTTCGTTATTTTTACAGCTGACGTCAATTGTAGTAATATCGGGGAAATCCTCCAAATATGGTCAGCTTTTTTGAAAAAGTAATGTATAATCGCATGATTGAATTCGCTGAGCAGTATAATATACTACACCGCTGCCAGTTTGGATTTCGTAAAAACTATTCAACGTCCCATGTTCTAATCCATCTGATAAATAGAATCTCTTCGGCAATTGACCCCCGTGAAACTACTGTAGGTGTGTTCCTAGATCTCTCCAAAGCTTTCGACACTCTTGATCATCAAATCTTATTCACCAAGCTGGAGCACTATGGTATCCGTGATGTGGCCCTGCAGTGGATAAAAAGCTACTTTTCTCGCCGTCAGCAATTCGTCCAAATTAATCAAACTTGTTCCTCAATGCAGACGGTTAAGTGTGGAGTTCCTCAAGGATCCATCTTGGGCCTTTTATTCTTCATACTTTACATAAATGATCTTCCTAAAGCCTCCAAATTAACTGGGCGTCTCCTTTTTCCTGACGACAAGAGTATCTTATTTTCACACTCTAATCCCAACTACTTAGAGAATGTGCTTAATAATGAGTTACTAAACATTGATGTTTGGTTAAGATGCAATAGCTCTCAGTTAATATCAAAAAGACAAATTCTGTTACCTTTAGTTCAAGTCAGAGGAAACTCAATCACAGTTTTTCTCTCTCTTTTGGAGGTCAACCTTTAATTTAAAGCAATGCAACTAAATTTCTTGGGGTGTACCTAGACGAACATCTTACTTGGAAATATCACATAAACTTTGTTTCTAAGTTTCTACTTATCTTGTAAGACCAAACTCATGCTGTACTACACATTAATTTATCCTTATATTACCTATAATTGTAACTCCACGTGGTCGTCTACTTACGTATCTAATTTAAACAGAATTTACTATTTACAAAAGCGGGCTGTGTGAGCTATTACAAATTCAGAATATCGAGCACATACTGCTCCTTTATTCTCCAAATTGGAAATTCTGGATATTTTCCAAGTCAATACGCTCGATACTGCTAAATTTATGTTTCGCTACCACAATAATCTGCTGCCTCCACTCTTCTGCAATCTGTTTATGACAAACAGTGAAGTCCATAGATATGACACAAGAACATTCAGTAATTATCGAATACAGTTCCTACGATCGTCAAGAAATTCATAATACTTTTCCAAGGACCTGGAATCTGGAACTGTCTTCCTGCATCTCTTACAAACTTGTCAAGCTTTTCGATCTTTAAGAACCAAAGCGCTAGAGTTTTTATTAAAATAGTAACTGAAATAGTTTAGCCGCACTTCCTTCGCGGCCCTTATTTCTTATAATATTGTGATGTCGAGGTGGCCACTCCTATAAGCCCGGTGTTTTCTTGAGGTCTCCTCGCCTAACAACCTGCTGTATCCTGTAAAATTTGCTGTAACAAAAAGGCTAATAGATGATGATGATGATGATTATTATTATTCTTGAAAACAGCCATTTTGTAATGCCGACTAAGCTTCATTTGCTCATTTGTAGGAGGAGGAAACTACATCTACATTGAAGCTTCGTCTCCCAGAAGGCCAAATGATAAAGCAAGGTTATTGAGTCCACTTCTACAAGGTCCAAAATGTCTTCACTTTTTTTACCATATGTACGGACGTTATATAGGAACCCTTGATGTATCTCTTTACCCAAATAAAGTCCCAAAAAAAGACTGGGATAGTGAATTGGTCACCTTATGGAGCGTATCAGGAGGACAAGGGAACAGATGGTTGAAGGCCGGTGTCAATATAGTTTACAATGGCGAGTTTCAGGTAGGTTGAAGGAACAAGGCGAATTGAATAATGCACAATACATTGAATGGGAAAAAATACTTGTGGACTATTGTGGACTTTTTGGACTATTGCGTCAACACTTTATTAAGCAGTGTTTCAAAACGGAGGTATCCATGGACGTTTTTCGCTTTTTAATGTGGACAGGCTTCAAGAAAAGTTTCAAAACATCGCTTTTCTTACATACCGCAGTAAAAACATGCATATTCACTCTATTGTTTTTGTTCGTTATAGCTCGATCGGTTTTGAAGTTATACGCCTCATTTGCATCCCGTAATCATAGAGCCAGCTTGTTCTAGGGTCTCAGCAGGATTCCGGACGAGCAGTGTAAACTGATCTCAGTGAAAAAGTTTCCTTCTGTTCATTTTCAATTGTTTTAAAATAACATTGACAACTTCTACCGATTCTTAGATTTCTCTACTTTGATAAAATGTCCCTGTAGGTTGTTTTGACAGCAATTGTCGGACTGAGCTTTCAAGGCGATATTGCTGTAGATGACGTTTCGTTTACCGATAGCTTGTGTGATGGTAAGTCATAAATTTAATTAACCGAGTAATTAAACTGCCCAGGAAGTCAGTCATAAAATTGGCAATGAAATTGTTGTTCATAATTTTGTTTATTTCTTATTTTTTGATTTTCTATTGCTGTAGATGACGTTTCGTGTACCGATGGCTTGTGTGATGGTAAGTCATAAATTTAATTAACCGAGTAATTAAACTGCCCAGGAAGTCAGTCATAAAATTGACAATGAAATTGTTGTTCATAATTTTGTTTATTTATTATTTTTTGCTTTTCCTAAGGGGACTGTAACTTCGATAAACACTGGTGTTCTTGGAAAGCAAACACCAATTTCAGCTTTAAATGGACAAGAGGGTATGGCAAGACACCAAGTGTAGATACCGGGCCAAGAAGAGATCACACTACAGGTAAAGTTCTTCTTTTCTAAAATGGTCATGTTTCATTACATTCTATGATAATGAAGAGATAACTTTGTCAAAAAAAGAAAGCAAAACTAAAGATCAAGAAAAAACGCAGTGGTTAAATTGCAGTGGAGGATATCTTCAATATTCAAACAAGCTAATTGGTTATCATTGTCAAGGCTTTTAAAACAATTTATGATAATATCGGTGACTTCACCCGTTCTGGAGTGTTGAGGCATAAATCCTTAAATGACCACCAGAACCGAAACATTGAAGCATCGAGTCATGATAAAGTAGCTGAAGGGTACGTTTTTAAGGCTCAATTGGAAAATCTTTGAAAAAACAACTTTCAACCAGTTTTTCACAAGAGGATTTATGTAAAAATACGTTACTTCATCATCTCATACTATAATAGGACAAAGAGGAGCGATCTCACAATCTCACTGCAAGTATTACAACTCTAACAAGTGTAGTATAAGTCCTTTGCTTCTGTTACTTAGGCAATGGTCAGTATATTTACATAGAGACTTCCGCTCCACGAAAAGCAGGAGACACCGCTCGGTTAGTTAGCCCACTAATGAGGGGCCCGCAATGTATGACATTCTACTACCACATGTATGGTGATACCATGAGCTGTATTGTTATATACATAAAACGCCAAGACTCAAACAAGTTGAAACCGCTTTGGATAAAGTCGGAAAACCGTGGAGACCTTTGGATCCGAGGGCAAATAAGTATCAACGAGTCTTCAGTTTATCAAGTGAGTCACATTTGCATATTTATTTGTTTGTTTTGTTTATTTCTTTTTTTCCATTTTTTTTCTTTTGTGAAAGCCACTTGCTGTACGATATACTTATGCGTCCGATTAACAAAATTGCGGAACTAAAATTAGCAATAAAAATCGCACATTTCGGGACTACCAGACGGACACAGAGCTAAGTAGGTTTTTTACGTTTCCAAAATACCAATGGAAGACATTTGTAGCTATCTCTCTAGGAACTTTTATTTCTTCTATGGAAGGAGACTAAGACAGTTAAACAGTCTTTACACAGGCCTCTTTTTCACCAGTTTCGCAATCCTCTTTGTTGTTGCTGTTGTTGTTGTCTTGGTTGAAACAGCTTCTGTCATACTTTCTCGAGGCTTTCACTCGCTCGAGCTGACTAAGCTCGCAAACTTTTTCAAGTCTACGCGCCATGTAAGGCAAGAGAAGGAAATCACCTTTCCCTTGACGTCATACACGTACTTGCATTCAGACAGATAATTTGCAAGGTTCTAGCGGGCTTAGTATTCAGAACAGGGAGAAGTAGTATAGGGGCGCAACGACTTTATTTTTGAAATAGAATCTCACTATTTTTTGAAGTAGAATACATTTATGCTAGTGACGTCATAGCCTCATGAATAACACGCCAAGCGGTGGTGGTGGTGAAGGAAAAGCAATAGAATTGTGATGGTTATGGTGGTGGAGGAAAACCAATAAAAATGATGGTGGAGGTGTGGAGGAAAAATGATGGAATGTGATGGTGGTGGTGCTGGTAGAGAGAAAACAATAAAAATGTTGTGGCGGTGGTGGTAAAGGGTAAGACATTACAAATGTGGTGGTGGTAGTGCTGTGGGAGGGAAAACAATAGAACTATATGGTGGTGTTGGCGGTGGTGGAGGGAAAAACCGGATCTACCGCAGTGGACAATGAAATTGGCCGAAAATAGAACTTGCATGGTTACGTTATAGCTCAGTGATTTTACGTCACAGGTGCGTTTGCGCTTATTCCTTCGACTACTCGAATCAACCGACAAATTATTTTCTTAGTTTTTACTCAACAAATAAAAAAGCAAGACATTCATCGATCTGGAACCTAAGATAAATCCCCTGAAAATAATGCATGACCTTATCTTACAGTAAATCCATCGCATGTTATTCATGAGATAAAGACAAAAGGCTATGACGTCATTGACGTTAATCTGTTCCCCTTCAAAGAAATGACATTCTACTTCAAAAATGAGGTTATTTCGGTTCGCTCTTTACTAATGGGAGACGTCTGCATACTTATTATCTCTCAAGTCACAAACAACAATCAATATTTTCAAATTTTGGATTCACCTTGAAAGTCAACCCCCTGACAACATCGCTAAACTTTCGTTATACATATCAGATAAAATGACCTGACAAAGTAAATGAGTTTAGGTAAATAAAATAGATCTTTTATGTACACAACTTAATATTAATAAGAAATCAGTTAACTTTAAAACCCTTCTGCTTTCCTGTCAAAGGCTGAAAATAATTTGTCAGTACAACTAAAAAACCACCAACTCAATTTGATAAGTACAAATAAAAAACTAAAATTCTACTCCATCTTCAAAAATGAAATAAAATACTCTGAATTCATCAATCATATCCGGAATCCTAAACATTGACGTGTCGCCTCCAAATTTAGAATAGGAAATTATAACTTAAAAATCGAAACTGGAAGATTTACAATTCCCGAAATTCCTAAAGATCTTTTGTGTTTGCTGCAATCTAAATTCAGCTCGAAAATGAAATGCACGTGGTAATTCACTGGGACCTATGTGATGATTTGAGAAAGACTGCCCCAAAAAAACAGACTTTATGATGTCACTTATTTAAATATGTATGTTGGAAAGAAGGGATTTCTTCTCTGTTATACTGTTTATTTGTGTCAGTATTTTGTTTTTTCTTTTCTAAGATAATTGTTGATGGTGTTAGAGGTATCAGTTATCGTGGAGACGCGGCACTCGACGACTTTTCATTCCAAAAAGGAACTTGTAACCAAACAGGTATTTACAGAACAGTAAAAAAATAACAATTATAATTGCCTTTTAATGTGTATTTGTCTGAAAAATTTTTATTTTCCCAGTCGAGGCTTTGTATTCTGCTTTAGCTAGGCATTTCAAAAAAGTAGTTTTGTGAAAGGTTTGAAAGAGTTCATAGGTCGTTGGTGTGTGATATAGACGATCATTCCAACTTTACAAAATTTTGTTGTGTTGTTGTGCTCTTCTGATTTTTTTTCTGATTTTTTTTTCTAAATATTTTTATCCTCGAACTAACTTCAGCCTATTCCAGTAGCAAAATAAACGAAAAATGTGATGGTCACAAATAATATTCGCTGACACGGCATTTGCCGTTGAGATTTCATGTATACCTATCCTTAGTTATTTTACATTTCTTGACAACTTCGAGTTTGCTTTGTATCAATGACTTATACTTCTGTGAAGCTACTTTTTTGCTCAATTGTAGGTGAAACCACCTACCACGTTTCCTCATACGAAGGCAAAGTCTACCGAATCTTCTCACAACCCTACGGACACAGTCTCTACTCCGAAGAATTCCGATTCACTCTCAAACATCCCCTGGGAAATCCGAATGAGGTAGCGCATGTTATCTACTCTCGAGAGTCCAGAGGACACAGTTTCATTGAATCAAATCTGGATCTATCTAACCAGGGAAACTTTCCTATCGATGTGGTTACTCTAAGTGATGGACACGACGAACGACATAAAACCAAGGTTTATTCGATAAAAAGGCATCGTTATGGAACTATGCTTAGCCTGTATGACCATAAAAATGTGGATTGTTGCAGTAAAGATGCCGTTTTTTCTTTCAGTGCATATAATGTTTCCAGAACAGGTAAGAAACAAGAGAAAAGAAATGCATTTACAGGGTGTCCCAAAAGTTCCTTCCCCTAATTTTATGCACTATAACTTTTGATCAAAACTTTATTTTTACATGAAATTTCTAGAGGATCTTTATTTCTCTATCGGGTACATGTATTCAGAACTTCAGCCCTTTTTGTTTCTTTCTTTTTTTATCACATTCTGTAGCCGTTGCGGCATGGAGTGGGATACAGGGTGTAGACCCACAGATGATCCATTTTGAGCTTTTTTATCACCTGGTGCGCAGGAGCCAGTTCAACCCCAAACAATATTTTTTTAGTTTAGGCAGCTAAAAATATATATTTTGGGCATTCATCCAAAAAAGATAATCATCCTGGCCCCCTTTCACAGCAAGGTGTTTGTACTTCTTTATAAATTTGAGAAGAGCTGGGCGTTACTTGGCAGACTAAGCAGAGGGTTTTTTTGCCATCTCAGGGGCCTCTAATTTTAAACATTCGCTTTTCATGACCCTTTCTGGACTTGGCTTGCTAACTATGTGAGAGCTTTCTCGTCGAGTCTCCTCTGTTGTATCTAGCTTTCTTTAAAACTATTTTAGCTTCTTTATTCAGGGCTTTTGGTCTTCCCCTTCGTTTCTTGCCTTCAAAACCTTCATTCCTCCATGATCATTTTACCACCCAACAGTAGGATTTTTCCAGCTTTTTAGTAGTTTCTACAACAGATAAGCCAGTAAATCGAGGTATACATGGTTATGCTCTCACGTAGCTGAATGTTTTTGCGTTAAGGGGGTTTATCTTTCGTAATATTCACAAAAAAACCAGGAAGGAGTTCGAGCAATTCGGGATATAAAATACAAAAAATATGTGGCTGGAAAATATACTCGCGCACGCGCACCCTTGACGCGGAAGTACACGAATGGAATATTCGAGTCAAAAGATGGCACAACAAGTACGAAAATAGTGAATTAGATTGGAAGACACAACTTTTGTTTAAATGATTTGCTTACCAAGTCCAATCGTACTAAAATACATACTTATAAAGTAGACGAACGAACTTTTGGGACACCCTGTAGTTTGGGCTTGTTGTTCCTTCCTGTGGGTGACATAGCCTGAGAAAACAGCCGATATTTCGGGATGCCACCGCTTCTTTCCCCCCGAAATGACGTCTGAGGAACGACAGCACAAGTTCTGTACTGATGACGTGTCACTATCCAGATTTGGGTTGTGCTTCTGATAGGGTGAAGTAAAGTTTCAACTAAGCATTACCAAAGAATCACGCATAGCATCAGTATGGAATTTCTGCGCTCGTTCCTCAGACGTCATTTCGGCGAGAACCAGTGGTGACGTCTCGAAATGTCGGTCGATTTCTCAGACTACGTGTGGCAGTAAATTTGTTTTACTTTTATGCATGGCATGAAAAAAGTAGTAGTTCTGGGAGTTTATAGATACAGATACAGAACACTTGTTGTGGAAGGTTTTAGCTAAAAGTTGCTTAAGGGGCTTTAATTTGCTGTGCACCTCTGATTTGTTTACTTTTGCAGGAAACCTATCAACGTCTAACTGCTCACCTGGTTGGTACAAATCTGGCCATGCCTGCTTTCTTTTTTACTTCTTGTATTCCAAAACGTGGAGCTCAGCACGGTCATTTTGTCACAAACAGGATGCCGATCTCGCAGTTGTCATTGACGCCAGGATGTTAAAACAGCTAGTCAATCAGAGAAAAGAAATGACTTTAGATGACCGCGAATTATTCCTTGGGTTGAGTGGTCGGTTAAACTGGGCCTGGTCGGATGGGACAAATATCTCAGAGACAAACAGATTTTGGGGTCCAGGAGAACCTAGTGGTGATGGCAAATGCGGCTCGTTTTTAAATGCTATCAGTTGGGATTCCGCTTGGAAGGGGTTTGGATGGCGCTGGAATGATCTAGATTGCACCCGCGTCCGTATGGGATTTATCTGTGAAGAGCCATTAGGTAGGACAACAAAACTTAAAAGACCGAAACATTTTTGCACTCAAAATACGCACATTGCAAAGAAATAGCACCTGGGACACCACGGAAGTTTGACTTAATTGCATCATAATGATATACATTGTATATTGTATAAGAAATACTGTAACTTGCTCAAACGTCATAGCAATCTAACCTGTTAATACGCCTATCCAACCTTATCTCGTACAGCCTTCTGAAAAATTACGATTCTTTGATAGGCATGGATTTGGTGGTTTTAGTCTAGTTTAGAGTAGCAAAATTCAGTACAAATGGTCTGGTATAGGTTAAGGGTTCTAGGGTTTCAGCAGTTACTCCCTCCCACAATTCTGGGAGGGAGGCTAGTATCAGGATTAGGATTTAGGCGCTTTGGGAACGCACCATACAAATTCATTGTCAGGTTTACCACTGATTACACACTATATGAATTTTTCGATTGATTTTATAGCTGTGCCTCATCCTTCAGCCTTGTTTACCTTAAGTGGTGTCAATGGCACTATGGATATCAGTCCACATAGAGGGACCTCGGCTATATCTCACGACATCATGTTTGCAACGGGTCCTTATGGAAACGAAAACGGTTCATTCTTCTTTAAAGGCAACAACAACAGCTACGTAGAACTGAAGAATACCGGTAATTTGGACACCAGATTTTCCATTGGAGTTTTTGCTTGGGTTTATCTCGACAACACCTCTGGCCTAATATTCAAGTACGAAAAGAACAACCATTACGGCTGCTCAATGAAGGTGCTTGCGTCAAATTTGGGTGTTAGTGTGCGATATATGAACCGGAAAGGTACCAAAAGTTATGTGCTTTATAAAAAGAACATTCTAAGAGCAAACGTTTGGAATTTTGTTGGAACTTCATACGATTATCACACACGTCTGGCGACTGTTTTTGTCAACAACAGTACCGTGATAAAGAGAGTTATTTCAACAAAGATGGATTTAGCTACTCATTATGATGTAAGAATTGGAGCGACAAGAAGACAAACCGCCTATTTTCGCGGAAGAATTTCGTGCCTACAAATTTATGATCAGGCATTATCGAGAGACCAAATTATGAAGATCAAGACAAACTGTAATGATACTGGTAAGTATCATATGTGGCCAGCTTCTTTTTCAGCTTGTGCAAATTATTATAAGATGAGAACGATGAGTAATGAGTATTAATTTTTAGGAACTTTTGTCATAACCTTTCAAAGCCAGTTGAACAAGAGATTGAAGAACACGAGGTCTTGAGCCAAATTCTTAAAGTGAAGCATAATTTATATACATGTAAGAAAGGTAAATCATTTTTTTAATGGAATAATCTACTCTGACCTGAGCTTTGCCAACTGCCGACGTGGAATCACTAAACCAGCTGTAATGGATAATCACAAGTTGCACTTGATTCTAATTGCATGGCCAAGCTGTTAATTTCTTACGTCTGATACGTCAGTTGTGAGAACATCCAATCGCAACCTGACGTTTCAAGGTTCAACTGCCATTGTGGGTCCTCAGAAATATTTCCGGCCTTAGCAAATTTTTTTCGAGAAAAACTATTCTCACGAATTCAGAATTGACTCTAGACACGAAGCTACATGTATAGCCATGGCTACATGTATATCAGGCTAAAATCATTCTTAAAACAGTATTAAAACACAAAAACCCAGTGACAGTTTTCCTTTTTGAACTGTTTCCTTGCCATGGAATTTCGGGTGGTGATGCAAACAACAAACTGTCCTATTTTTACCCCGCTAGTCCTTTTGATAAACGCTTGAATTTCGATGACGCATGAATTATTATCATAGCTGTAAACATCTAATAAGTAAATAGATTGACTGTCTTTAAAAAAGATATGAGATAAAGCTGCCCATAAAGTGAGAATGATACTCATTTAAAGTAATCTGCTCCAAACAGAACTAACATCGTGCAGTCCCAGCTTCTTCCCTTTTCGTGGCGGTTGCTACTCCATAAACACAAACTTTCCTCGAACATGGCAAGACGCTCTGGGATATTGCAACAAAGTAGTTCAAGGAGGAACACTGGCCAAGATATCTAGAGAAGGGCTGAGGTTTGCATTCTCAAGCTTGCTTGACATGAGAAGACCTAAGCCAAACAACCTATTCTTTGGACTATTAACCAAGGACGACTGGGTCTGGATAGATAACACACCATTCAATAAATCCCTTTGGAAGCTGGGATATCCTACTGGTGGCCATGGAATCCAAAGCTGTGCTGTTATGTCAGCTGGCTCATCAAATAAGATAATAAAAAGCGTTAATTGTCGATCAGCAAAATATTTCTTGTGTCAGAAACGTTACGGTAGGTGATTAAAATACTTCAAGTCAGTTGTAGTTTATTTTGTCAGTTACGAATGACATAATGGAAACCTCGAAACTTTGTGCAAAAAATTCTTTGTTTTCACGCTGTAGAGTTGTCAACAAAAATGTTAATTCGAAACGGGCTTGGTAGTTCGTTTCACCAGGAGCACCACATCTGATATGGAATTCCGTTTAAAGAAATTCGTCTTTTCAAATTAAACGCTAAAATGTGCCGTTGGAATCCCTGTTTCTCAAATTCTACTTCGCTCATGAGTAGCCGACTCTCGAAAACTTCTTTAAGAGAGCAATTTTAACAACTGTCCCTACGCGCGCTTTATGCCGTGCCCCTGTACCTTTCGCAACAGCCCTCCTAAGTCAAGTCTATTTCTTTTTTAGTAAGTTCATTGTCACACGAGAGTATGGTGCTAAGTTCAAGCGTGTCGTTGCCGCATCACACTTCTTTAGCCATTGATGGATCATATTCAACTTGCTTCCGTTCAAATATGGTAAGGAATATCAAAGAAAAAAAGGAACACCGCTTAGCTGTATTGCTTATTTCTAGACCATTTTTTTAAACACTTTACCTACCACTGCGGAATTTTTTTTTTTTTAAATTCAATTTTTGTACAACTGTACAGCATCAGAGATACATTTCATCAAGTTCCTCTTGAAGTTTTTACAATGGCTTTTTCTTATACCATCTTATACGTATACCATAATGGCATCCATCTCCCTTTATAATGTTGGGATATACAGGAACAGTCAAGTTAATTTAACGATTCAAACTGAGAATTACTTATTAATAAATATGGCCTAATAACAAGGTGATTAAGGCTTGAATGGGGAATGAAAATCGTCAGCTTCGTGACTAGTAACCAGTTTCTCCTGGAACTAAACATTTGTGTGTGTTTTCTTTAGGAGACTAACCCTTGGTGGCGAGTAACCTTCGAAAGACCGCAGTACGTCGAATCCATCGAAATCATCGACAACGTTGACTGCTGCCCTCGGGACCATGGGATGATCTCAATCACCGTGTCTGCTGATGAAAGCCATTTTGACACGACCTGTGTTGTTTCCACTGAGTATGGTAAAGAGCTTAAGTACAAATTACAATGTTCTCCACCAGCCCTTGGCACTTACGTAAGATTTACGTTGATTGGAGAGAACGTCACACTAGTTCTCTGTCATGTGGTGGTACGAACTCTTGGTAAGTCAAAAAATCAAGTGGCTTCCTCCACGAGAAACAAGCGTTTCCCTCCCAGAAACGTTTCTTATTCAACACTTTCTAGTAGCGTTTCTGAAGCGTGATGTAACAAATACAAACAAAAGAGGCAGCCACTGACTCCACTACCTTTACACTATTATTCTGTTGTAAAATTTGTGCTGGATCGAAAGAAAGTCGTTACATGCATAATATTATAAATGAGGAGGGGGAGGAGGAGGCGGGAAAACAATAAAAATGAGAGGAAGGAAAATCAAAATATGCTGATGGAGTGACATGTAGTGGTTGTAGTGGTGGTGGTGGAGGGAAAAACAATAGAAATGCGTTGGTGCAGGCAAGATAGATCTTTTTACCTGTTAAGTAAAGATTAACATCAACATCTCTAACATTTTTTGTTCTCGAAATATTGTAGCTGTTTGAAGAGCTCTTTCAACTTTGTTGAGACAAGAGTTGGTCTGTACATTTCACAACATAGCTTAACCAATGTTGAGAGAATGTCGAGGCAAAAGTGTTATCAATTCTATCTGCAGAGCATGCTGATGATGCCCGGGGAGTATTGCGCGAAGGGTGGTATAATGTTAACTACAACTCCAAAAAAGCACCGACGATGCGAGATAATCCCGCCTTTAAGCCCCCAGCTCAAAGCCGTATCACTTTGAGTGACTTTGATGCACCAATAAATGTTGGAGATAAGTACATTCAGCGACTGACAAGTTACTTGCAGGTACACAATTCATTTTTCTATATTTTTTTTTCTAAAGCTTTCATGATATTTAGCTCCTCTCCAAGCAGGTCTAAGCGCCATGACCAATAGTTCTTGAGTCGTTAAAACTAATTTGTCTGCATTTACCAAAGAATCGGACAAAGCATCACTCTTTATATCACCCTAACAATTCCACAAGTCCCACTATCCTCTCGTGATAATTTAAGAGAGCTGTTGATGGACTGATCCTCTCTTGCTGAAGATAAATCAATAAATCCAATAGCACTTAAATGCAAGTCAGTCAGTCAGTCAAGCATAATCAATCAATCAATAATCTTTATTTATACACGATAAGTATTTAAAGCGACGCTTCGCTTGTGGGGTCGTGTCTAAATAATTAAATAAGATAACTAATGAATTAGAAAATAAATAGGATATACACCAGCTAAAATCATATAGCTACTTACAAGTCTAAAACGATAAAAGCTTAAGATTCTAAAGTACAAGGTGGTACTCTAGTATCGACTAATTATTAACACTAATTATACTTAAAATCTTCCTCCCTTCTGGTCAATGTTTGAGGGGAGATACAGTCGAAATCTAGGTGTAACAGAGCCTTTGACCGTCTTGCCATAATCGCATATTTCTTAACATTGTCTATATCGTCATTAAGTTGAGGAACCAACGTGTTCCAAACTATTGCTCCTCTACGAGCTATAGAGTTCCTCATGTAGTTGGTGTTAAAACGAGGGACATCAATTTTCAGTTTCTTCCTAAGTTGATGTCGCTTGATGTTATCATTGTTCTTAATAATAGCTGACATAGCGTCTGGAGTCAGGTTATTATGGATTTTATACATACGCTTAGCTAAGCTAATTTTATACATAAAGGCTAAAGAAGACCAATTAGCCTTTTTAATAACATCTGCATTAGAGATCTCCCAAGGTAGCTCAAGGATAATTCTCGCAGCTCTACAATGCAGTGCTTCTAATGCCTTAAAACCTTCCTTATTTGTGAAGCCTCCCCATACTGATATACCATATACGATCGACGGCATAATAACTCTAAAATACAAGTCTAATAACAGATTCTTTGGAAGAAATTTGCTACGTTTTAACAAGTTTAACTTATCAACAAAGCCTTTTTTAACAACACTAACATGTTTAGACCAGTTTAGTTGATCATCTATCAATACGCCTAATAGTCGAGAGTGTGCAACCCATTTGATGGTGTGCTGGGCCAACGTTAACTCTTTCAATGGGCCAGTGAATCTTCCACGATGGAGGATCACTGCTTCGCATTTCTTTGGATGAGGTACTGCGTCGATAGAATCGCCAATGCAATATAGGGTAGTATCATCAGCATACATGTAGGTTGTCGCAGTGGTCATAGGTTCAGGTAAATCACTTGCGTAAAGAGAAAATAAGGTCGGTCCTAGAACGGAACCCTGCGGTGTTCCAGATTTAACAGTGTTAAGATCTGATGCTATACCATTTAGGACAGTATATTGTTTTCTATTGTCAAGGTAACTGCGCAGCCAGTCGAGTAGCATTCCATTAATTCCAAAATCATTTTCTAATTTACGTAATAGCACATTATGGGAGACACAGTCGAACGCTTTCTGGAAATCTACCAGCACTATACCAACAACTTTATTTGAATCAATGGCACTCCTCCAAATTTCGGTAATATGTACTAGCAACAGCTCTGTAGAATATCCTCTCCTGTAAGCCCATTGTTTGTCTGTAATTAATCTATTTTCAATAAACGCATGGTGAATGATCGAATCAGCAACAATGGTTTCGAGTATTTTGCTCGGAACACTGAGAAGAGATATGGGGCGATAATTTCCGATTTCAGTCTCGTCATCCTTTTTAAAAACAGGATTGACTCTCGCAGTCTTCCACGGGCTAAAGACGTAACCATCTTTCAAACTCATATTGTAAAGGAACATCAACGGGGATAGCAATGCATCTCCAGCTTCCTTGACTATTTTCGGAGATATGTCGTCGGGTTCTGTCGCTTTATTTGTTTTGAGATTAGCTAATTTTCTCTCAATGGCCAAAGGCGATAGTGCGATGTTATTGACACAGGGAACAATCTTAGTTGGCGTGGCCTGGTGAGATAGATATTGGGGCTGGAAACTGTCAGCCAGTTTCTCTCCGATGTTAGAGAAGAAATTGTTGACCAGGTTTGATTTTTCTTTGTCATCAACTGCGAGCGATCCGTCCTCTCTTTTCAGTGGACCTATCGATTTCCTTAATTTAGGGTTATTCGCCTTTGAAAGCAGGTTCCAATACTCTGCAGTGGTTTTGACATCAGCTAATAGATCTTTAAAATGCTTAGCCTTGGCTCTGCGTATATCAGCTGTGATTTCATTTCTAAGTTTCTTATATGCAGCCCATTTGCTAGGATCCTTTGTCCGGTTTGCCTCTTTGAATAATTTAAATCTGCGATTCATTTTGTGCCTAATTGTGTTGTTAATCCACGGAGCAGACATACTTCTCACTTTCACATCCTTAAACGGGGCGTGAGCATTGCATACATCTTTAAACAATTGTTCCCATCCCCAGAGCGCATCGCCTTTGTGATGAAAAATTTCCAAGATATGAAAAGGAATCTTTTCAATATCAGCCTTAAAATTCGCTGCATTAAAATTTTTAAAGTTTCTGGTGCGAATAATCTTCGGCGGTGGTCTTTTGCTGCCCAATTTAAGCGTTGCATACACTAGGCAATGGTCGGATATACCTAGTGGCATTACTCCTGTGCATCGCACAACATCCACCTTGGTGGTAACAATAAGATCAATCAGTGACTTTGTGGTATAAGTTATGCGGGTTGGTTCAGCGATAACATTTTGCATATTAAATCTTCAAAAAGCCATATTTTCCCCACCACTACTCTTTTGTTGACATTTCCATTGTTTTTGCATGAGTGTTCAATTTTCATCTTTAAAGTACTGGGAATCAACGATTGTGAAATTTCATACCTGAGGGACAATTTTAAAACGAGGATTCGTGGTAAAATTTTGGGTCTGGCGTTAACAGGTTTAAGAGCTATTTTATTATTTTCCTTCCAGAGGATAGCTGCTTAATGGCAGTTTCATTCCATTTCTCCTCCTCCTGAGGAATTTCTTAACAGGGCGCCACCACTTACAATAAAGTGAGCAGGATATTCTAGATCTTGTCTGACTGTGAATGATCGATATGAGGAGCACGCTTTATATATCCTAAGATAGTTGTTCAGAAGGGTGTTGCGAATGGGAAATTGTCCTCCACATCCACGAATAAAAAGACATTTCAACTGTCGTTACCAGCGCTCAAAATATAACAAACAACTTCTCTCAGTTCTAGCACTGGGGGCCATACAGTCTGTTGGTGTAAACGATTGTATTGTAATTTTATAGTGAATGTACTTGATTTACCGTTTGCTTCATCTGTAGCGGCATATCGTTAATTACGTGTATGGATTAATGCCAAATAAACGTTGTGTTTGTCTTACTAACGGTAAATTGTCGTCTTTTTACCTCACAAGTGGTATTTTGAGCCATTTTGAAGGATTCTGAGTTCGCTGTTTACTGTTCCTTTTAATAGAAAAACAAGGATAGAATCAATTGTTTGCGCGGCTCCAGAGCCAGAGCGATTTTCCCCCAGAAAACCGCACTGCTCCGCTTTCAAAACTCGCTGCAGAAAGGCCGAAAGATTCACGCTTCTTCTCGTACCTTCCGATCGAAAATCCATCCAAAAGGCCTAGAGCTGTTGTGGCCCTCGAGGAAAATTAAAATCTCACAGTTTTCGAACGGTCAAAATGTGTAGCAAGATTTACATGTGCCAGCCAGAAACCGTCCTGCTGATTGCCTCTCAAAATACCACGACAATTTACCTTAGGTAAGGTACCACAACGTTTATTTAGCATTGATCCACGCACATATTTAACGATTTACCGCTACTTATGAAGTTAGATGACGCGAACGGTCAATCTAGTACAGTTACTATAAAATTACAATGCAATCGGTCAGACAAACAGACTGTGTGGGTACCCTGTGGCTCTAGTATTTCATATTAAGTTAGTTAGCATTTAACAGATATGATTAAGGATTTTTCTCTGTTTTTGTCAATATTTGTTAGGTCCCTGAAAGCGGCAATTACACATTTTATCTGTCCTGTGATGATGTTTGTGAGCTGTGGAAGCATGATGTTAGCGAGAAAGGTATCGAAGAAGTGAAACAAAAACTTGGGAAGACCTTGGCAAAACAACCAATCATTACCCTTAAAAGAGTAACTGGCCATAATAAATGGGACAAGTAAGCAACCTTTCTCTTCAATATATCTTTTAATAACAGACTGCCAAAAGCACTGTGTGTGCAAATAACGGTAAAATGCGACCGTCACATGACAGCATTTGTCCTGTAACAATCAAAGTACTTAACAAACGATGCAGGGTCGTAGAAAGTCTCAAAACGCTTCTAAAGGAACGTCATGCCATTTTCTTGTCTTCCAAGACAACAACAGCTTAGTACATGTCCTTCAATTGGAAAGGGGTAGAAGGAACTCACGCAGTTGCCATTTGTATCTGTAGGTATGCGGAACAGCTCTCTCGGCCGATATTTTTAGACAAGTGCAGACTCTATCGTATGGAGGCCTTTATGAGAGAAGAGAGCAGCCAAGATCACATATCTCTTGGCATGCGCATACCGTCTGACAGGTATGAAGGCCCTATTCCAAGAAGGAGACTGTTTTGGACCAAGCCAGGTAACATGACTCTAAGCTAGGAAAAACTCATTTCTGTCACATTTGCAATTGACTTTAAACCATGAGTTTTAAGTACAGACCTTTTCTGAAATGCGTCCTGTGCAAGTTATCGTTTGGTTGCCACAACATACTTTACATGATACTAGCATCTCATATACTCAAAACCTCTACACACAGGAATGTTGTTTTGGAATGAAGATTGTGTAGTAAAAAACGGACAACAACACGAAAAGTACAAAATTACAAACAGCTAACCGGTTGCTGCTTGCTGCAGGTGTGACAAAGGAGTTTTCTTTTCTTGCCCTGCGAGCACAGGTTACTTTTTTACATGGCTTTTATTTGACATCTAAAACAAAAAAACTACGTGACTGACAAGCTGACGCGATCTACTTCGAAACAAACCTCCTACACGACTGACGATTGTCGGATCTTTGGAAGGACCCTTTCAAGATCTTGAAAGATTCTCTTGCAGTCCTTAACGATCTTGAAGGATCCTAACTAGGTTGTTTAAAAGATCCTCGAGGGTGTGGATACGTCATTTAACATCCTTGTAGGATCTTCTTGCAATCCTCAAGGATCTTAAAGGATCTTAGCTACGTTGTTTGAAAGATCCTTGAGGGCGTCAATTAAGATGCTTGAAAGATACTCACCAAATATTCAAGAATCTTAAAGGATCTTTACAAAGATCTTTTAACCCTTTCAGTGCCAAGTGTGGCCAAGGGCAAAATTCAACAAAAATCCCCAAATTTCGGCTCGTAAAATTTTGAAAATAAATAGCGCCATTTGAAAGTACAGGCAGAGAGGCTTCATTTGAATGGTTAAATCACCGGATTTTGTCCAGACTCAAAAGTTAGAACTACTTTAAGGGACTCCAATATTCACTCTCTTACAATCGTCAAAGATCTTCAAGGATCCTAGCTAGGTTCTTTAAAAGATCCTTGAAGACATGATTTGTCCTTAAAGGATCCTCGTTATATCTTCAAGGATCTTAAAAGATCTTTACAAAGATCTTTGCACGGATTTCACTTCACTTCCTCGAGGATCGTCAAAGGATCGTTTGAAGATCCTTACCTTTAAAGATCTCTGCAGATCTTTGACGATCCTCAAAGATTCTAAAGGATCCTGTGAGGATTTTCACCAGGAAAAAGCCATGCCAGAAAGAAACCTCTGCTCATAAGGTTGTCGTTTCTCACACCGGATTGGCTTTTTGCTTGCAACTGAAAAATATTTCTCTGGTATTTAACTGACCACTTATAATTCCTCTTTTATAACCTGTAAATTTTAATGAAGTATAATAAAGTCTCCAAGCTTAATAAAGCGACACTAAAACTAATAATATTACATGGCTAGTAAAGCTCATCAACTGTACCTTCTCAACAGGAACACGAAGACTAGAGGTTACTTTCCTGGACAACGAAACTTCTCTACCTGCCTTTGTTGGTTCAGAATTGCTCGCATCAGGTTAGTTGAACTACGTAACTCGATTATATATTCAATTCGTCCCAAGTTTGCCAACAATGTCACCATCACTTGCATAGATTTTACATGGTCAGTACGGCTTGTACACCAATAGAGCTTTTGTGTTGTCTCTGTGTAATAACTTATCAAGAACTTTTTGTTAGCGTAATCCCATTTTTGGCGGGTTTCGTTCGCCCTTTGGATCAGCTTTTTTTTTCCCGAAGAAACGACTCTTGCCAATTTTCCTTTAATTTGTCAGGGTTTTACAAGTTTTGCTGTGACGGAGTCTATTGCCCAGATTGCCCGATGGAATTGAATATCTCGACCCTTCAACAAAACGTGACAGTGACCCCTGCACTTAACATGTCATGTACTAACACGCCATTCACGGCTCCATTTAAAACCGAAAAACAACCTGGCAATTTTACAATCAAGGTAAGTTATAATTAAGTCAACTTTTTAAAAGCTACTCTTGGCCTTGAAAATGTCGAATTTTCGCTTACAGGCACCTACCCTCAGAGTGGTGTCTTGCGTAAGCGAAAAACCCTTACTTTTGGTCAGAAATGGCTGGTCAGACTAGTAAATTTTTTAAAACGAATTCAACCATTAATATAGATAGATAGATGTTTTATTGTTTTATCAGCTAAAGCTGGTTTACATAAAAGCCATGTTAAAAATATATATACATGTCTATCAGAGTTTCGAATTAATATTAGTTGTGAAAAAGAAAAGTAGATGTAAAACTAGGTATTAACCTTTGATAAAATATTCTAAACTAGCATTATAGTAAGGAATCAAAGAAGCTGGCATTCAAGCAAATCCTCGGTTAATGTATTCCAAATAAATGCACCCCTATAGCAAAAACATTTTTTCCCATAATTGATTTTGGAAGAGGCAACTGAAATCTAGAGGAGGAACTCATAGTATCATACGTGGACCTCATTTTCAAAAATTTTTGGCATAGGTATTCTGGTGCCATATTATTGCACACTTTCAACATTTCTATAGCGAAGAGCTTAATTCTGCGTATGGAAAGGAAGTCCCATCCTAGCTCTTGCAGCAGGGGGCCGGAGGTAGAATCATAACTGGAAAAGGTTATGATTCTAGCTGCGTGGTTTTGCAGTTTGTGAAGCTGTAGAGCTAGTTCTGAACCCAGACCTCCCAAACAACGCTGTAACAGTCAAAGTACTGTTGGATAAGAGAGTTCAACATTGTTCGGAGGGTTAACGGAGGAACAAATTGTCTCACACGCTTAGCGCTCCGATTGCGCTGGTTTATTTCTTCCTCTAATATGTACTGCCCATGTCCCATGTAAGCGCCTCGTCAATATGTAGACCCAAGGATGTGCCAATGTTACTTCAGGTACATTGGCGTCTCCAATGAGGAGTGATAGGCAAGACATTCAAGAAGACCTCTGTCACAAAAGAGGCAAGCCCATATCCAGAGGCCTTGAAGTTTGCACTTTGTCGACGATCAGGCTCTTGTAATTGAAAATGGGAGGTGAGCAGAACACCTGGCAACCTCGGTATCAACGGCATTCAGCTCAAGAAAGTGAAAGAAACAAATATCTAGGCAACATGTCAGAGAGGATAACGGTGTAAAGAAAGAGAGACAGTAACAAAAACACAGAAAGCTAATGTAATTAAGTACCAAGCGGACACACTCCTGAAGCAATTACAAGCATCCCCTATGAAACAAAACCGAAACATTTGTATTTAAATCTTTCTTCCCGGCAACACAAACCTACAAGATTCAAACATGGACACTTACAAAAAGACAAGGGTGAAAAATAATCACCTGCCTTATGTGGTGTTTACGTAGTACGGTCAACAGAACCACGCCTGGTGGGAACAACAGCAATTCAACACCATATCGATATTGGGCAAAGGACGAGAGTTGACACGACCAGCTGCCTTAATAAAAAAATGCTTATTATTGACTCAAGCTACTAGCGTGTCAGGTTATAAAACAAAAGGACTCCCTCAAAAAAAACTGGATTAAGGGCTTCAAAGACAGTAACGTGAAGCCGATCGATAGCTCCATCGTCTCGCGATGACACCGCCGTTGGTATAAGCGGACGGTTAAAGTAAAGTAAAGTAAACAAGAAAGTAAGCAAGTAGGTTAAATTCGTCATCACTGACATTAAAATAACTGATAGTCATGTTTAAAAAAAATAACTGAATTCAATGATCTAATTGTGTACGGCGCCTGAGAAACCAGAGATTAAGTAAGGAAGGCAAGACTTAGCTTTCTCTGCTCTCATTTCATCCCAGTCTGGATAATACGTCTCCTTCACTCTCAGAGCGTGCTCCTGAAGATTCTGTGCCTTAGACTTGATGAATTCAACAAATGGACTTTCTGGGTGCTCCCAGGCTGAGCCCACGATAAAGGCGAATAGGGAAGCGTCTGCTAGGCAAGGTTTATCTCCAAACAGGAATTTCTTTGGACCTAATATTTCTGACACTGCAACCAAGTCTTTTTCAGCTATTTCGAAGATCTCTTGTTCTGTGTGTCGACCCATTCCGTGAGACCATAGCATATTCTTAAACTTTTTCTGTGTTCTGTATAACACCAGATATTTCAGTGGCTGAAAAAGGCGGCCTAGTGCTCTTTCCCGATATTCCTTGCCGTAGTCAGACAACCAGCATGTATACGTCAGTGCCCTGTGCACGAAAAAAAAGCATGTTCACGTCAGTTCCCTATGCGACAGCAAAGCATGAAATCGGAATGGACAAAGTCGGCATCCTTTGACCAGTTTGAAATTAAATCTTACGGATACCTGTCTTATACTGGCAAGGAACACGAAGAGAAAATAACTTCAACCACTAAGGTGATTAGGTCGGTGATGATATTATGAATATTAGCCTGCGAATTAGCTCTCTCTCCCCTTTTGTACGCGGGAGAACTTCGTCTTTTTCATACGATAGTCAGTTCACAGTTTCCGAGGTTGCAAAACTTTTTTTTCTACCGATAGACTGTTCACAGTCCCCTATCCCTCCGGAAGGTCGTCGAGATGGAGCGCTTTGCGTTACTGACGGTCATCTTGATTTCAAATGTACCGAGGGGACGAGCGTCGGGTGTTATAGGCAGTAGGGGGAGGGGGGGAGAAGGGGGAAAATGTTTTTTCTCGCCATCCCCCACCCCCTAAGTAGATTCCACAGTCATCCCCAGGCCAGACTCGGAAGGTTTGAAACCAAGATGACCGCCCGTAACCACAGGGTCTCCACACAGTCTGTTTGTGTACCCGATTGCATTGTAATTTTATAGTAAATGTACTAGATTGACCGTTCGTGTCATGGATCAATGCTAAATAAACGTTATAGTACCTTATCTAAGGTAAATTGTCGTCCTTTTGCCTCAGAAGTGGTATTTTGAGCCATTTTGAAGGATTTTGAGTTCGCTGTCCTCTTAATAGAAGGACAAGGGTGGAATCAATTTTTTTGAACGGCTCCAGGGCCGGAGCGATTTTCCCTAGAAAATTGCAATGTTCCGCTTTCAAAACTCGCCGAAGAAGGACCGAAAGATTCACGCTTCTTGGCGTACCTTCCGATCGAAAATCCATCAAAAAGCCCCAGAGCTAGCCCTTAAGGAAAATCAAAATCTCGCAGTTTTCGAACTGTCAAAACTGAGTGCGTAGCGAGTTTATACGTGCCAGGCAGAAAACCGCCCTGCTGATCGCCTCTTTTCGATTGGATATCGTTAACAAAATGTTTAAACAATAACTGATTTAAGGCAGACTTGGTAAGCGTTTATTGTTTAACTGCATCCGATCAAAAAAAGGCAATCAGCAGGACGGTTTCTGGCTGGCACACGTAAATCTTGCTACGCATTTTGACCGTTCGATACTTCCTGAAAAATTGGGTGGGGTGTGCGGCACGCTTCCTGAAACCCTTACCCGACTATTTTGGACCAAAATCTGTGATTTTCTCTACCCTATTTCAGACTTGAAGCTCTGTAGCCCGGCGCGTAACCGGAGCGCTTGACAAGCTGTTACGACACGTACACAGTTGGCGTAGACAATAAAAGGGAAATGGTCTTACCGCCAAATGATGAAGTAGTAGTTTCTTCTAAAAAAACATACCCATTTCAAGACTAGAGTGCACAAAGCATACCCTATTTCAGACCAAAATGGTCGAAATTGATACCCTATTTCAGACCAAGAAGGCTAAAAAACCATACCGACCACGACCTACTTGAATTTGACTTTGTAACCAGGCCTCGTAGGGTGAAGAAACCTGCGCGCTATGCCTACAATTTCAAACCAGCTGACTTTGAGAACCTCAAACTGCAGATTATGCGGAGCTCGGTAATAGCGTGTTATGCTGGTCCAACTGGAAATCCGCCCTTTTGGATATTATTGACGCTAATATCCCTAAGGCTAGAGTCCGGGACTGAAACACGCCACCGTGGATTGAGTTCGACATTTGCTGAAGAGGAAAGAATCAGCTAGACGTCCCGCCAAGAAACACAACAGCGCTTTTTACCTTGAAAAGTTCAGGATTTTAAGAAAAGAATCTAACGCATTGATAAACAGGAAGTTAAAGGAGTATCACACTTCTCTTGGTGACAGCTTGAAAGTCAATCCAAAGCGCTTCTGGAGTTACTTCCGCCATAAAACCAAATCAAACTCTATACTAGCTAATGTTACGTACGGTGGGCGACAGATCTCCTCTGGAGTGGAGATGGCAGAAGCCTTCAACAAGTATTTCTATTCTACGTTTACGTATGCGCCTGAGATACCCCTTGATGCACTTACGCCGCCCGACGGTAGAATGCCCGTCCTCGACAGCTTAGTGCTGTGCCAAGACGAGGTCTATAAGGTGCTCTTGAATTTAGACCCGAGCAAAGCTCCGGGCCCTGACGGTCTTCCTACAATAGTGCTAAAGACGTGTGCAAGGGATCTAACACCTTCTCTTGCGCCCTCTTTAATTTATCTCTTGCGGAGGGTAAACTACCCACCGAATGGAAAGACGCCCTTGTCGTCCCCGTTCATAAGAAAGGAAAAAAGGAGGACGTTACTAACTACAGACCCATCACTCTATTGTGCGTTGTATCCAAAGTATTAGAACGATGCATATTCAAGCACTTTAAGGGTTTTTTCTGTCCTTTGTTTGACAATGCACAGCATGGTTTCCTTCAGGGTCGATCTACAGTCACCCACCTTCTAGCGTTTTATCACGAGATTGGCCGGTCTCTAGATAAGGGCCTGCAGTTGGACATTGTGTATTTGGATCTCGCAAAGGCTTTCGACAGTGTCTCCCACCAAAGGCTGCCTCTGAAACTCTCTCGGTACGGAGTCAGCGGGAAACTTCTGCAGTGGTTTGAGAGCTACTTAGGTGGACGCGGTCAGCGGTGCTTGGTCCACTGTTTCACTTCTAGTCGTTCTCCAGTTCCATCAGGAGTCCCTCAGGGCAGTATCCTCGGTCCTCTGCTGTTTTTAGTTTAAGTGAACGATCTCCCGCCGGTGATACAGAATCGTATCGCACTCTTCGCTGATGACTCAAAATGTTCCAGCGTCATTGAAAGTCTACAAAATTGTGATTCACTCCAAAAGGACCTCGACAGTCTGCATGGCTGGAGCGATAATTGGCACCTAAAGTTTAACACATTTAAATGTGAGGTACTAACCGTCACACCTAAGCGCCACCCATTTCGACTCACTTAAACACGTCACTCAGGTAAAAGACCTCGGAGTGACTATCTCGCCGGACCTCACATGGGATACTCACATTAACACTATCTTAGCTAAGGCCAATAGGATGCTCGCATTTTTGTGCCGCAATGGTGTTATGTCATTCACTACAGACCATAGGAAATTACTATATCTCACGTTTGTAAGATCATATATTGGCTATGCTAGCGAGGTACGGGCTCCCAGTACGATCGGTAGTATAACAGAAATAGAGGATCTTCAACGCAGGGCAACAAAATTCATCTTAAACACGCACTGGCAAGAGGATATTTCTTATCATGAGCGCCTTTCTCGCCTCAATCTGCTACCGTTAACATACTGGCATGAAGTGAAAGACTTAATTTTCTATTTCAAGTGTCGCGCTGGCCACTACACCTTACCCATAGCTGATTATGTCGGGCCTAAAGGCACTCGTCTCACTCGCCATAGCTCTGATCAAGACGTACTAATTCCCAAGTCCCGTACAAAGCTCTTTCAATTTAGTTACTTTAATCGTATTGTTAAACTCTGGAATACGTTACCTGTATCCACTCGTACTCTTAGTTCTCTTAATCAGTTCAAATCTCACGTACTCCAACGCTATTCGGCTGCTTTTCGCACAAACTACAACGTCACAAACTTTAACACCTGGAAGTCGATCTGCTGCAAATGCAGTAGGTTACGTAATCTTCTATTAGCTGGTAACTGCTGCTACGAAGACTTTCTATCGGCTGCGGGAGGGATTCATTCTTATCGTTTTTACAAATGGGATTTTTATACTTTTTATAATGTTTAATGTTTAAATACTTAGTATTTTGTGTATTTTTCGTAAGGGCACACTTAATTTGGAGCCTCGCTCTGTTGTGTGTCCCGCACCTTCGTCCTTCGTTTTTGTGTCTTGTTCAAATGTATTTTTTTCCCTAGTTTTTTAGTATTGTAATCATGGTGAAAGCGATTAAATAAATAAATAAATAAATAAATACCCTTTGGCGCCGCACATGCCTGTACAGCCTATATAAGGGAGTACCCCCACCCCCACCTCCCGGGCGAAAAACGCGTTCCGTTGCTTACGCAAGCGAGACTCATTAGAATACAATCGTTTACGCAAACAGAATGGGCTTCTTCTGTGCCGTATAAACGCAAAGCGCTGGATCCCTACAATCTCACGACAATATAGGGGACTGTGAACAGTACATTCTGCCTACCAATATGTGTTTTCCTCCAACATGGTGCGAATACTGTGGCGAATAGCTTTTTCCGTGGGTCCCAAATGTGCATCGACATCCACATGAAATTCTTTCTGAAGAAACCGAATACAGAAATTAGAATCAGCGATCTCTTTCTGGTTGAACTCGATCCATGGGTACTTGCCCTTCTTGGAGGTCTTAACGCTGTAAATATTTTGGTAGCGGATCTTTGTCATTCGAAGGAAAGTTTCCAATTTTAGACATGGCGGAGAACCGCTTAGGGTAGTAAACAAATCTCGAGGAATCTGATGTAGAATGACTGTTCCAGGATTGAAGGGTCTTTCGCCCGTTTTCAGTCGTACAAGGAAGTACGTGAAAGCAATTGAAGTGCCAGCAATGCAAATATAAATTGCTATTTCCATGGCTTTAACACTTACTGCACCCGAAGTTAAATAACCTCTGTTTAAAAAGAAATGAAGTAGACCGTCTAGTATGCATCTGTTTTGCATAATTATAATCTAAAAATAATATTAACATTTCGTTACATGCAATAATACGGCTCTAATGTGCTTTCACAGGGGAAACCTAACATGAACGGCTGTACAATTTATAACTAGAAAGAGTAATTCCTATTTATATTCACGACTAAGAGACGGGAATGGGTGTGCAGCTAGAACTATGGAGCCTGAGTGTTTAATGCCGTCCAAATAACATACAAAGTTCAACATCATAACTAAAGAATAGCATACAAATATTCCTAAATAAAGTCACTCAGGCTAAACTACTCACGTGCGCCGCCTGATACGAAAACCCAAAAAACCCAATGGGAAAAAATTGGGAACGTATTCCCCAACCGATGCCGTCGCACAACCTCTGGGGCTTAAAGGTAAAAAATCAATCGATAGATGAATAAAGTAAGATATAAAAATAAAAGTTGATAGTTCGAGAGCTGAGATGAATATATTACAACTGTCAAAACCTTACATACCTAATAACAATAGAGTCAATCAACGCCATAGCGGCTCACGTGCGTTCATACCAATAGGAAAGTATTTACATTCTCTGTCACTGCCACTACGTTTAGCTCCGCCGAATGTAAATATATTTTTTATGATAGTAGTAAGATGTTAGAATGACTTATCTGGGCTTCGACCGGATCATATTAACAAACTTCAATTCAGCTTGTGCAAAATTATTCTGCACGTCTTTCGACTGGTCCTAGGAAACATGAACATATTTCACCCATCTTAAGGTCTCTTCATTGGTTGCCTATTCCGGAAAGAATTGATTTTAAACTTTTACTTCTTACTTTTAAATCACTTAATGATGTAGCACCGCCTTATATGGAAGAACTGTTAGTTCGTTATAGATCAACAAGAACTCCGCGTTCTGCAGATAAAGGACTCCTGGTACAAACTACAAAATACAACCTTAAAACTTATGATTACAGAGCTTTTTCACACTCAACTCCTAAGGTATGGAATTCCATACCAGTCAGTAAACGCACATGTTGTGAGCTGGGCGCTTTCAAATCAAAAATAAAAACACTTCTTTTTAAGCGTGCTTTTCAGCCGTAATTTTATTTCATTTTTTTATTATTTATCTTTTTATTTTATTTTATTTTTTTTTACTTTTAACAAATAAGTCATTGTAATATTTTATTAGGTTTACTATTATTAGTACTGCTTGCAAAGCACTTTGGATTTATTATTGTTATTATTATTATTATTATCATTGATGATTTATCCCATAATTCATGTTATTGTATAACTATATCCGGGGGTTTCCCACATAAAAGTTGCAGGGTGGTCCATCTGCGGAAAATTGAAAAGTGAAATCCGCTAAAGGAGACCTATCTGTGCGTCTCCCGCTCAACCCTAGGCTGCCTAGGCGATGTTTTTATCAACAAAAATGTTTCCTTTCGACCCTAAACACCCTTAATGAGACCAAATGGGCCATTTCTTCCCCTAATTCCCCTATGCGAGACGGCAAGCATCTTGGTAACTTTTATTGGGAATCCTCTCCCGGGTAAATATATTCTAGTTTTAAATTTGAACAACACGTTTCCTAAGCAGCTGCTCTTTGTGTAGTTACGTGACGACACTACGAAGGGCTCTCTTAGGAGACCAGAGCAGTCCATGCTCTTACAAATGCTCACCATCTTTTTTATTTCCATGCCCCAGATCACTTATGCCTTTGCTAACAATTCAGAGCAACTTGTGAATGAAAAAGTGTTGGGCCATGTTCTACTTGAAGGTATTTCCAAATTCCACCCGTTCTTTGTGGCTATTTAGCGAGCCACTGGGTTACTATTCGTTACCTTTGAAAATGCGGCGATAAAATGATCATTCTAACTGTTGTAACAACTGTCTAAGACAGACAAAAAAGACAAATTAATATCTTACATGAGACAGTGTAAGCACATTTGGTAGGGAGCTGGTCTCAGACAGATAGCGATATCGCCAGTCATAGGGTCGGCCCGGACCATTACTCAGGATTGTTAAATAACTGGCAGAATAATTGTAAAATCGTTCTTGTCTAAACCAAAAAAACTAACCGGTGACTATTTAGAGAGGATGACGCTTGACAAATCCAAGAAATATTTGCACTCACGCGGTCCAGATGGAATTGGGCATATTAGCCTCGCTTTCATGACTTAGGAATCTTGATGATAACGTCCCGGATGGCAGAAAGCCCCCGGCCCTCCCCCAACTGATCCTGAAGAGCTGAATTAGATCAGTAATATTAAGCATATTAGACAAAAAACCATAATAGAGAGTAACAAATTGTTTAAAAAGTTACAAAATTAAAAATTGAACTTGACCTTTAATCTAAGGTTTGTATTGTTTCTCTGTCAGCGGTGGTGGTGAACAAATGCTCTTTCCAATCCGGCTTTTCTGACTGGAAGAATATTGCAGACATGGATCACAAGTGGAAACTGTCAACCGATTTATATACCTTAATGAACTATACAGGTGTGTTTGTCAAACATTTAAAATCTGAGTCTTTTTTACCACCATACCAGGAGAGAGATTAAAAACGACCAGGAAGCGGAGAAGGAAGGAACAGTGAATAGAAGGCAGAGCGGCGCCACAGAGGCACTGCGAAGGCAGCGGTCAAAAATAAAGAAGCTCGGAAGGAGAAGTTCGTGGCTTTATGTGTCTGCCGACACAATGATGATGATATTAATACTATCGAGGAAAGTATTTACCAAGAAAATGTTCTTATAGCATGACAATATTTATTCTTTCCAGGTTATTTTGCATACATTGATGGTGCATACAAAGCTCAGTTAAAAAGTCCATTGTTGCCGTGGAAACCATTTCACCGAACCGTCGGTTTGTGTCTCAGGTTTAAGTACCTTATGAAAACTCATTCCAAGTCATCTTTAAGAATATTTCTCAAAGAAGCTAAACAAGAAAAACCAGTTTTGGCCTGGCAGCTAAGCGGCTACCACGGTGAAGACTGGTCATTAGCTCAAGTGGTTTGGTCAGGCACAGATACCACTCAGGTAGGTGAAAGTGCGGACACTTTCAATTTTGCCCTTTCTACTCCAAAAAGGTCAAAACAGATCTCGTCTGGAACGGTTACTTGTTCCTACCCGACCCTTTTCGTACCTCTTTTGACATGTAAACGGGTTTCAACTATCCGGCTTGGAGAAGCGTCCTCGTTTTTGATAACCGAGTTTTAACAACGACAACGGCAAAAGCGAAAATGGCACTATTAGGATGAATTTACTTTTTTTCAAATTTTGTTGCGATCATCACACTAAGTTTATGTGTAAACTGTAATTTAATTTCCCTGGAATTAAACTCTTGGGGACCTAACCCTAGTGTCAAGTATATCACGCGACATGAAATGTCGCATAAGGGAATTTGGCGTCTTCTTCCTGCAGGAATAGAGAATTGCTGATTGATTGTTAAGACATTTTGTTTGTTTGTTTGTTTTTGACGTTCGGGTTGCCGTCAACGTCGTCGTTGATTGAGCTTCCTAATGTCCGAAGGAGGATAGGTACCAACTTCAGTGTTCGTTTCCGGGAGTGTCAGGTTTATAGGAGCTTCTGCACGTTAAAAACAGTTGTAACTCACACTGTAACTCAAAATAGCTCCGTACGTACATTTTTCAGACAATTTCCAATTTGCTCTTCTTTTGGTTTTAAATTGCCTGTAATAGTGGGTTTTAAGTCACTCAATTAATCAAAACGGTGTTGTTATTTACTCCTCATTTTAGATCATATTTGAGGGAGAAGGTTTTCTTCCTCAAAAGCTCCACATAGCAATAGACAACATTACTGTCACGACAGAGAATTGCTCCTTGAGGCCTTATTTTGCAAAACCAGGTGAGCTTTTCTGTCCGATTCTATTCTTACTTTAAGGACCGAATAAAATGACACGTTCAAAGGTTAATTAGCCCCTCGTCGAAGTGGTTCACCACGATCGCTGATTCAACGTCTCTCAGAACCGCGTCGCTTATAAAGCTAACTACTTTCAGGAGCTGGCTCCTGCCACTTTTTAAAATTTCAATGTTTTTATCGTTGCTGTAACTCTAGAGATTGTTTAGTAACCGCTTTTTCGTACTTTGTGCGCTAGAGGACAAGTATTGGTCTCACGCGTTAGATTGCTTCACGGCTGGGTGCACTGGTTGTAAGTTAAAACCTTTCGGGACTTAATTCGCGCTTAATTACGCGTCGAAAATTTCACGGACACATTATCGGTCAAGCACTTAAACAATACCCATCCAGTGGTCCTAGCCGTTAGGGTGGAGAATCGGGCGATACCGACGGCTGGAGACCACACCTACTAAAGGTCGAGCTTCCTAAGTATACGTGGTCTGTCAAGCTTTATTAAATTGACATTTTTCAACATTTTCACTCTTTTTCGATTAGATTTCAAGTGTAGCGATAATCAGTTTAAATGTACTAATGGCGAGTGTGTAAAGAAGAATCTCCTGTGCGATGGGGACTATGCATGTAAAGATCGCTCAGATGAGGAGAACTGCGCATGTCCGACCAATATGTTTCACTGTAAAGGAGGAGGTTGCTTGCAAGCAACTGCCTTGTGTGATGATACTAAACAGGACGGCTGTGACGGAGAAGATGAAATCAACTGCCGTAAGTCGCCTTATTTTATCACTTGCATTGTGCTTTATTTCCCATTGCCTCACGCGAAAAAATTAAAAGTAAATCAATAACTAATACTAACAACAACTTATAATATTTTGAAAAACGTGTTAGTAGATAGCTGTGAACTGCTAGTTTTAGTCAAAGAAACTAAGAAGGATCTCGATGAGGACACGCGAATAGAAGAAAAAGGAAGGCAATTATCTGCTGCAATAATCGGTTTAACTGTCAACAAAACACTTGGCTATAATGCTTTGATGCTCTTAGCAGTGGACAAATTATAACTCCATTTCTACCATAAAATCTTCAGCAAGAATCAACGACGGCAATTGTTAGGCAATTTCCTGTATTATGTTGCGCTCGTGAGATTTCTATCACGGGATTCATGCTATGTTAAAATCCACGTTGATGCATGCAAGAGTGTCATGTCTGCGTTACAACTTAAGCTTCCAACATGACGTAGGAACATGTTCAGTCGGCTAATCAAGCAAAAGGAAACGCTCACCTACAAACGCACATACATTTGCTTGTTAGTCTAATTTTTGCAATACACAGAGCAACTTGTAAGGCCATAAAAACAGCAGCCGATGCAAGAGCGGGAAAAGTGAATTTATTTAGGGTTCCTTTGGAAGAACTATATGGCTTAAAGGGTTAAAGGCTTGCGCTTAAAACCTAGCGAAATTTACAGCTATTTGAATGGAAAAGGGTCAAAAGGCAGGCTATTTGCAAATAATCACACTCAACGAATGGAAAGGAAATGAAAGGAAAAAGATCGAGGAAAACTAAAAGAGGGGAAAGAGAAAGAAAGCAATGTTTGTACTCTTAGCTTTTACATTAGCTTCTTTGGAGATCAGTTTTTGACCGACTAAAAAAAACCGCTTGACGGAAGAGGTCTATTATTTTGGCGGTAACGTCAAAACCCCGCTTGATATAGAAGCGCGTTAATGTGGCCGTATTTCAAACTCAAATACTGTATCGGATGTGTGAAAAATAAGCCAAGCTAAGCCAATTTGGTTAAAAAGAAATCTTAGTTGTTGTTGTTGTTGTTTTTTTTTTTTAACGCAATTTCCTAAACACTAACCATGATGGTCTCGCTATTCCTTTGGGCTTAAAAACTCTCCACCAACAAGTCTCAGGTAACAACCAATATTCCTAAAACCTCTCTTGTTACTTTCATAAGGAAATCCATGTTCTGATTATCAATGTCTGGACGGGTCATGCATTCCCTGGGAAAGCACATGTAGCAAAACCTCATTTTGCAGAGATAAAACTAACACGCCCTCTATTTGTGGTAAGTAACTATAATCAAGGAACCATAAAGCTGTTATTCTCATAGACTGACTTTCATGAGTGTTGGTTGATTTATTTGAACTTGCTAAGCTTTTTGATCGGCTGTCAGTCAGCAAGTAGTGAAATAGTCAAACGCAGCCTTGATAAAACACCATTTCATAAGTAGGTGAAATATGATCTCCCGGGTGAATAAAGTCATCTTCAAAGTCAAAGTGAGTTATATCAAATCAGTTGATGGCACTTTGGTTATAAACGTGATTGATCAACTAAGTCGCTATGTTATTGGTCGTCTGTCAGAAAGGGTTTGATGCTAATTGGCTATGAAGACTGTAAGTGCAATAAGTACGTTTGATCCGTCTTTTGTCATAGAACGGTCGTTTTATTGTTAGTCAAGTTTTCCGTTTTCCAGTCATTCTATCGTTGTCAGTTTTGCTCAGGTCCTTCATGAATAATTCGTATGTATGGTGTTGGTAGCTGCTGACTTCAATTCAGTGAACCAGCTTTCGAAAGTGAGTCGTTGATCTTAATCTGTTTTCAAGCTTTGGCGCTGGCCATACTTGCTGCCTTTTACTTAACATACGTTATTTCCAGGATCTGGAAAGTGCCATCTTAATGACCTAGCCTGCTCATCGAAAACATCAATTGAAAATAAATTATGCAGATCGTTCAGAGGTAAGAAAACAGCAGAACTTAAGATCCTTTACTCACTTAATTTTCATGCAAGCATTTCACAGGTTTACTCAGAAAAATTGCACTCCTATCTTAGAACACATTTAAAGCCCCTGTGTGCTTTATCACACCTTCGGGCAGTCACGTGGCATCGAAGCAAAAACAGCTTTTGTATTTCCCATGATAATGGAGCTCTCATGGCCATGTTCTTCGCAACTATAGCAACTAATTGTCACCGAATTTTGTCAAAACAAGTCTAAGGAATAAACGACAACCTTTTAATGGGAAGAGGATCGGACAAAGACGTATTTACAACACAAATTGAATATGCCACTTGCACATTTCCCTTAATGCACCTTATTTGCCCCCCAAACTTTGGCCAACCTTTGTTTTTCATTTCTCCTGGGTATAACAGCTGTCCCAAGAGAAATTGAAAGCAATACTTATGGAAAAATTTGGGGGGGCAAAAAAGGGGCATTATGGGAGATGTGCAAGTGACCTATACAAATTTCCTTCGGGGATGGTATTCATCTCCCACAAGTGACAATCCCCACCAACAAGTCTAACACTGGCTGCAAGATAAGGAGTAACTATTTCTTCGCTAATCTTCAACTTTGGCCATTCTTTCTTGATAAAAGGACATTGCAACTTTCAAAATGGTCTCTGTGGCCTAAGAACCGACAAAAATGATGCAATCCAGTGGACTGTGGGATCAGGACAAACACCTACGGAAAGCACTGGACCGAGCCATGACCATACTTCTTTTAACAAGAAAGGTAGGGTTACCTAAATGAGAACCTTGACCCCTTGCCTAGGTACATGTGACTTTGATATCTAAGAGCATTATAATGTGCCTTTTGTTGTGAAGGGATATAGAAACCTTCCAAAAGGCATTTACCGAATGTAATGTTTCATATCGTTTCCATATGACAACTACGTAACAGTCAAAGTTCTGTACAGACAATTATAAGATATCCTTTGGTTCTAACCTCACCAAAATAACAACTAAATACTACTGACATTTTATCACGCCGAAAACGAGATATGTAAAGGCTAAGTTTGTAATAGAGGCGATATTATCAGATTCATAAGTGTTTCCACGTATTCGGATTCACAAACTCTGTTATTGTAAACCTAGCTTAAGATTGACGTTTCAGTGAGAAAAGAATCGCCAAGGAAATTCAGCACAAAATTACTGAAGCCTTCCGAATGGATATTCCAGTGATACTTCGACTACTCTTTCATGATGTTATTGACGATATTGACGCATAACATGAACCACCAAAATAGCGCTAGAGCACTCCCTGTTCGTTTATCTAAATAGCCTACAGAAAGTGAACGAATGCCAAAGCTGAAGAGGGGCAACGATAAACAAGATGTTCACCATAGTTAAATATTACGGGTGTATTTGTTGCAGTTAATTTTTTATTTCAGTTAATTTTTATTTTTCATTGTTTTTGGGTATGGTAATGTATGCCAATGAATTTAAAACAAAGGAAAAACAAAAATTAACTGCAACATATACGTTTCAGGCTCTTATATTTACATCGAAGCGTCTCAAAGGAAGCCTGGGGAGAGGGCTAGGCTACTAAGCAGCTGGATGGAACCCAATGAGACAATCTGTCTGCAGTTCTGGTATCATATGCACGGATCGAACATTGGAAATTTGAGTGTGTATTTGAAAACTAACCAATCAGAGAGTCTTGTCTGGAGACTTTCAGGAGAAAACGGGAATCGCTGGAGATTTGGACAGACAGCCCTTAATAGCCCAAATTATTATAAAGTGAGTTATAGCAAGCTGCAAATTCAGTCACCTCTTGTCGCCCACCGCCACGCGGGGTATATCCTATATCTCCCCTCCAGAAGGTGAGCGACGTGACTCGGTGAGGTAGCTTTATTCGCATGCTAAGTAAGTAAAATAGTTTTAGTAACCACCAGTTTGAAAGGCTTTGCTGTAACAAAACTTCTAAAAACATACACCCTTGCGAAATGCGTCTCTTTAACCGTAGATCTAGAGCTCGAGGTCTGATCATGATTGCTTAGCTGAGACTCAATGAGCCAAGGCAGAATGTGTTTTCGGTATCTATTTCAGTTTGTTTTAGAAGGAACAGTTGGTGGCGGAAGTAAGGGTGACATTGCAATGGATGACTTGATGGTGTTGGATGGAAATTGTGAAACCATTCTGAAACAAGGTAGGTTAACTAATGATGTTCGGCCAATTTAGAACAGTTGTGAAAAAAGGATTGAATCGTGGTCATTGTAACACTCACTGTTTTTAGCCACCCCATCGCAACGTATCAGGAGAACAACCAATGTCGTGCACCACATGCCTTTGTACAGCCTCAAATCTGTGTCCTGGTTTTTCGTTTTTCTGTTTTGAGCGTGCTTTTCTTGCTTGGGGCAGGTTTCTTCAGAAAACCACGAATACTGGATTCATTGAGTTATCTGGATCTCATGGCTTAAAGGAGACAAAAACTATCAATATCTTTATGCAATATGACATTATTCTAATGGAAGTTTTTCAAACGTGGTCAGTCATGATCGGTTAAGCAAAAACACTTGTATGGTGCCCATTTTCGGCCTTTGACTCTTAATTCATGGAGTGATTCAAAATCCTATGTTGTGACTGAAGACGGCGTTACCAATCAATTTGAGGAGAGGAAAAAATCATCAAGTCTCAAGGTCAAAACGCCATATTGTGCTTTACTTCTAACTGGTAGAAAAAGCAGTGTTAACTCTCTTTCGGCTGTTAATCAAGGAAAATCATTTTGATGGAAATAATTCCATTCAGAGCCACTAAAAATCTAAAACGTGCTAATCATAATTATGTTTCCTTTACTCTGACAAGGGAGTCCAGACTGCCATTTTGAAGAAAGTATGTGTGAGTGGGAAGCCCAGGAGGGATGGGTCCTGGATCCAATCTTGGTGGGATTGGAGAAGTGGGGTAAGTTGACCAATTTTAGGAACATGGTCTGTCAAAAGGTGCGCCACCAAGCCGCAGGCAAATTGGTCACGACCATCAACATGGATAAATTTTAATAAATTATGGAATCTGAAGGATACATTTTCCTTATTAGCTCAACGGTGTTTATAAAACGTAATTAATATCAAATCATCACATTTAATCTAAGGCTCTCTATCTGGCATTTGTCTGTGCAGTCTTTTGTTTCCCTTCAAAAATTCCATTCTATTTATTTCCTCTCCATTTCGACTAGCACTGATAAACCAGAAATTATTCCCTCCCTTAAACAGATCAGATGTACCACTTCTTGTCCTGCTGGTTGTTGCATAAGAATACATTATACCGAAACTCTTGTTCTTTGTTGATTTCGTGGTTCTCGTGAGAACGGTGCATCCCTCTCTTCGTTTTTCCAATATTAACTGACTGTTTCTAATCCATCTCATCTTGTCTAATCTTCCTTCTCTCAACTCTATGGCTGGTTGGTAGAGCGCCAGTTAGAGGAACAGAAGGTCGGGAGTTCCACTCCAGGCCGAACCAACATTCAGGGTACGTCTGACAATATTAGTTCTACAAAATAATATCCTGTCTTGATATGGCTCAAGTGACTTTAGTGAATCTAGTTCCCAATGAAGAAGAACTAGTTTACTCTTAGAGTCTGATCTGAAATGGAATGTACATATCTACATCCAGTGTTCTTTCATCTTTGGACTTTACTGCACTTGCTGATAATTGCCTTGCCCGAAAAACCTGATTAAACCCTGGTGAACTTTGGTGCAAGACTGGTTCAACTTAACAATGTGTCGGGGTTATCAGACCAAGCTTTAACTAATGCGCAAACACCTACCGTAGATTTCAACTAATCCTACTAGGATAGCCTGGTAAAACCAGACAAAACCAGGCTTTTTTGCTCAATGCGTTAGTTAAGACCTGGACTGTCAGATTGTTAGGTAAATTTCAACCAGAATTAACACGAAAGCATAGCATAACGTTCACTTTAGGTTCAACCTGGATGCATTGGGCACTATGTTTTCAATGGTCTAGTAGGCCAGCTTCAACTAGGTTTCTCCAGGCTTCAAACCAGACTTAATAATGGTCTTAAGTTTGAACCAAAACCAAAGACAATGTTATTACCGCTACGTAATGACAACAAACGACTTTTTTATGTTTATGTTCTTTATAGGCGGATATATCTCGCTTGCTGGCGTAACTGCAACGCTCTCATCTCCGATCATCAACACGCACGATTACGAATGGAAGTGCTTCCGTTTTCGGTATTTCATTGGCAGTATACATTTTCATCACTTTGACATACATTTTTTAAAGGTGATCATAAGAAGTGTGACATCAAATCAGACTATGCAGCTTTTCTTTGACGATAAAGTAACCAATGAGTTGCATTACGTACAGATACCCATACCCAGCAATTACTCTAATGCGCAGGTAGGTTATCTCTCATTTTCTGTGCCAAACTTTGATAGCGATATGTGATGTGTAATGAGTTTATTTTAATTTTCCGGTAGAAATAACACATAAACTGACGAGTTACGAAATTATTATACTACTTGAAATTCCTAATTGTAATCATGAATTTCATGAGCATTCTTTAGCTACTAGTTAAAGAAAATTCAAAGCTATATCAATCATCTTTCGTTTTTCATGGACTGTTACCAAACCGATAGACGTGCTCAGAATTTGCTGGGCTAACACCTAGAGATCGAAGAAAGCAAGGTAGGGAGGGCGATTTTCCCTTTTTGGCGTGTGGATTAGGAATATTGCATTTGTACCATACAATACCATGAGAGATATAACCAGGCAAACGTAGACAAGCTCTCTCTCTCTCTCTCTCTCTCTCTCTCTCTCTCTAGAAGAATATTAGGGCACTTTTCTGACGTTTCCCTCTTTTGATGATAGATCAAGCCTTTTTGTGTGGTAACTTTTGACAAGCCATCTAACAAAGCGTCATGATCTAACCTTTCTGCATGCGAGAGGTTCGCCAATACCATATAATCCTCACTTAAACAGATCACTATTTGTGCTTAAGAGGGCACGAAAGTGCCCTATGCCGTGGTATCAGCCAATTCAAAAGCTTTAAATCCAATTTGTTGGTCAAGAGGGAGCTATTGACTTACCATTTATCCGCCACTCAATTCTCTCGATCACCACAACCTTTTAAATCTGAGATATCTGCGGCTTTAAAAATCTGCCGTGTATGTGTTTGACTTTTCATGTCGATGAAAGGTTTCAGAATTCGAAATATGCCCTTTTTTCGTTTCCTAAGTTCGGACAATAAAAATCGCTATTTAATTTTCATTGATTGAGCTCAAAATCATACAGCAATTAAAGCAATCATTTGGCAATATAACAAAGCAAATTTGACAACAGAATCACCATCCGTTATTTTTTTATGAAGATTTGAAGGAACCAATGTCAGAAAATGGCAAAAGTCACTAAAGTTCCCTATTTGCTAGATGATACAAATGATCATTTCACCGCAATTTTTGGAGAGGCAGGAATAAATGATACTATCTAACTGTACAATACTGCAATAGCAACGGGTGGTTTAATTTTCAGATTTGTTGGTTACAACAAAAAGGAACCAGTACCGAAAAAAGGTGGTTTATAAACTCGATGTGCTTTGCATATAGAGGTATATGGACAGGTGACTGAAAAATTCCACTTCAGGTCTCATTGTGTAGCCTGATGATTACAATAATATTGTTTTAGGGAAAGTGTTGTTATAATTGTGAAAAATAAATTGAAGATCATGAATTAACCTTGGCGCACTCCTTAATTTTCGAACTGACCCACACACTATATTTAACATGTCGCTTTGTCAACTCCGCAAAGATCGATGAATCTAAGACCTACACATCCCCCAGCAGACAAGTATATATTTTTAAAGGAAATCTACAAAAGGTGCCAGCTTAAATCTCAGTCTCGTGAGTTATGAATCAGATGAATAACTGTAAAACACTGACCAAACTAGTAAGGATATTGGCGCGCTCCTAAACGCGCTGCTACTAAATGTGTCAAACAATTGTGTAAATAAAGGCTGGCCTCACTCGACAATCTATCATCTGTTTATCGTGATAGCCCTAGTCTTAAGGTTGCTATACACGTTTTATTTTGAATCATAGTAAGTGATAACAGAATGTTCTTGTTCAGATAACTTAAACTCAGCTATAGAGACGATGGTTTTGTTCAACTCTGTCTAGACTATATTTTGTAATTGGGCTTTGAAAAAGAAAAAGAACACGTATTATAAACGACCGATGTGGTTTACTTTCCTCTCCTGAGATAGTGCAATACCGTAAAAAAAGCATATTGACAGTTAGCATATACCACACAAGTAAATAGTGCTTTTCGCGCGCTCTGATTGGTTAACTCGGACGTGATTAGCCAGCACTATTCATCTCCGAGCAACCGGCGCGAGAGATTTTTATTTTCTGACCGTTTGTCACACATAAAATAACGTTTTGGTCCGCTAATTTTTCAGCTTGTGTGGTATATACTAAAACAATTATTCACCTTAGTGTCGGTGAAAGTGATGGATATTCACCGGCCTTGCCGCTTCGTGGTTCGGTAAATATCCATCACTATTCACCTCCACTTCGGTGAATAATTGTTAACTATGTTTAAAGTGTTGATAACGACATCCGTACTTATCTCAAGACCCAAGGTCAAAGAAATTCCTCAGAACGAAAATGGAGGAAAGGGACTATTGCAAAAAGCTTACTTGGACAGCCCGGAATAATTAATCCTGTGAAATACGAAAGGCGTGTTTTAAGAGCGCCTAAGACAACTCAACATTAATGTTGAGTTGTCTTAGACGCTCTCTAATTAGAGTTGTTTTCAAAAACTTCTCAGTTTATTGCAGTCTTTCACCTTCGGATCTTGACATATTGAGAGCTATGTTTAAAGCATCGATAACGATATCTGTACCCATCTCAAGATCCAGGAAGAAAGAAATTTTTCAGAACAATAATGGAGGATAGGGACAAGTACAAAAAGCATCCTCAGACACAATAATGAATCGTGTAAATACGAAAGACGTTTCAAGAGCGTCTAAGGCAACTCAACACTAATGTTGGACTGTCATAGACGGTCTTAACAACTTAACTAATATCAGAGTTGTTTTCAAAAACTTCACAGTTTATTGCAGTCTTAACATAGGTGTTAGATCTGCATTTTACATGCTAAATCACCTCTTGTTTTGTATTGCGGAAATTAACATACCAACTATTAATCGCGTGAAATAAGACAAATGCGTTTTAAGAGCGCCTAAGACAGCTCAACATGAGAGTTGTTTGTTGATTACAATCAAATTGTTAGTGTTAGATTTTGTATTTAAGATCTCTTTTTTATCTCAAGATTTTCTATATATTTAGATATATATCCTGTGCTCTTGTACAGCTTTAACTTCAACCGAGTACCCACCCCTGGGGGAGTTAGTTTCGTTGTAATGCATTGTTAAATTTTTCCTTCGGAGTAAAAGTGTTACAGCATTGTTTGCGTTCGTAAAAGAATTATATCGAGCGTCCTGAGATTTGCTGGAGATTAAGTACACGTTTCTCATACGATTTATACTAACTAATGGTATCTATAACAATATCATTGATCTTGATTAGCTCTCTGCGCGCTTATTTGTCATGTAATCGGCGCGTAATCACGTGGGTATCCAATAACAGGTATCTAATTTGAACTTTTCGTAATTGGGTGCCTGTAATGGGATACCCACGTGATTTGCACGTCAATTACGCGCGCTCTAATGGCTTCCGTCGCAGTATTTCCTAGATTTCTCATGACTTATGAAAAATGCTACAGACTATTTTAAAGAAGTTCTCGCAAGAAATTTATAATTTCGAAATTTGTTATAGATACGATTAATTAGTAATTGGACTTCGTGGCATACAATTAGTCAAGGAGTAATCGTGCTCATATTTTGAACGCGGCCTCGCATTTTGCGCTCATCCAATTTTGAAATGACATGTACTCCCGCGATTACTCCCTGAATTGTACTTCACTCAGTCCAAGTACTGTTACTAATTCAAGTTATTGTTGAGTGGACAACGGAACTAATAGACCACTTGTCGGATATGTTAAAATTCAGCTTGAGAGCGCGGCCTAAAGGACCGATACAAATAAAATGAAATCACCATGTTTGTTCATAGCTTTTGCTTGCGTCCTCTAGGCCTCACTATCAAGCTGAATTTTAATAGATTGGTAGTGGCTTATTGTTTGTCTTGTCTCCATGTTTATGCACCTGATAGAATCAGGCAAAGTTCAAATTTAATACCCTTCTTGATAATTAGCAATATATTGATTAATTAATAGTGTGTTGTCATGATAAATATACATCTTGTTTTTGCCTGCTCTGTTATCATGAAACGGTAGCGTTGTATGTTTTAATACTGTTACAGTGCACAGGCCTTATTGTGTTGAACTGAGTGGCTGCACAGCCTTTTAAATTTGATGTAGTGATGTTTGATAATGAGCGCCTGGTTAAATAAAATGTTGGATTGTTAAATACAAGAGACTCGTCAGTGTTTAGCAACAACTGAGAAATGATGATAATCAACAGGGAAAATACCTGTTGCTTCTATTGTACTGAAAGTAATGTTTTGCCGAAAATTAACTTCCAGAAATGAACATAATAATAATATATATTCCTCTTGCGCCTATCCTGATATGTTTTAAGTACTTTACAAAATCAACAGAACTAAAAAGAAAGATGTACGAGATATAAATACATAGTACAATGATAACATCATCGACGTTCCCCAGTTAAAGTCACGAAAATTCCCTATTCAAGTCGCTAAAGTTCCCCAATGTCGTCACAAAAGTTCCCTAATGTCACAAATGTTCCCCAGTCTCGTCACAAAAGTTCCCTATGAACGTCCTTAAAGTTCCCTATGGGCGTCACAAAAGTTCCCTTAGTCAGAAAAGTTCCCTGTTTCCGTCACCAAAGTTCCCCATTTTCGTCACGAAAGTTCCCTTTCTTCTGGCTCTCTCTCTCTCTCTCTCTCTCTCTCTCTCTCTCTCTCTCTCTCTCTCTCTCTCACGAAAGCGAACGTTAAATTTCTCCCATTCAAGAAGAAAAATATCAGGCCTTTTCCGTAGTTTACATTTTTATTACGTTAAATCCTTATGAGATTTTATTTAAAAAGGAGCCCGATCGACCATTCCTATTCTTAGATTGAACGAGCATGCCAGCATGACAGCTGGGTGAAGTGGTTTTGATTGGCTAGTACGTTAGTACATTTCTTAGAGCCCAGTGGCTATCAATCAAAAGTAGATATTACAACTGCATTTCTTCCAAGATAAAATTTGGTGTTTTTTTTCTACGACTTACAGATTGATTTTGTTGCCGGCAAGGACAGCCTTTTATCTTTCGACCTGGTCATCGCTATCGATGGCGTGTCTTTTTCCAAGGAGCCTTGTGAACGCATCCCTTGGAAACCGGAGAATGGTAAAAACTGAACAAAAGTGACATTTCAGCTAATTTCGTTCTTTACTAGATTACTGTTGTCTTTTTTCGCCGTTGTACGGTCAGCGTCAAAGTTAAGTCCTATTCAGATTGGAACAATTTTTGGGTGCGTCCGATTGATCGTATTCTGGAACAAGAATACGTAAGCGCTCTGTTACAAATCTCTTGTACCGGAATTCAGTCAGTCGAACATGCCCTTGGTAAAAAATTGGAAACTGATGTTTGGAATAATTTTTCTTAATTATTTCACTGAAGAAAACATGAATTCTGAGTGAATTTCATTCACTTAACGATTGCACATTTAACCCCAAAATTTGAAGCGCAACATAAGAGACGTAGCAGGATAGAGAGTAACAAATTGGCTAAGACAATGTTTCCCTGGATTTGTAGACCATTCTTGTGGAAACTTTGACTTTGAAAAGGGGACATTGGAGGGATGGATAGCACATGGAGCTGCCTTCAGCCACCAGCCTACCTTAGGAGATAACATCCGCGCTCGAACGTCTGGGTATAACAAAACTTCATCGGGACATCAGGGCAGTTGGTGGATTGGCACGTATGAAAACCGATCAAAAGCTGACATTCCAGCTGGAGAAGTGCAGGGAAACACGCCAACCGGAGGTCTTGTGTCATCACTCATACGCATTACAGGCCCAGACGCCAACTTTTTGCTCGGTGGAGGCTGCGGTTCAAAGACAGTAGTCTATTTAATGCTCGATGGCATTCCCCGTCAATTTAACGACAAGATCAAGTGCAAAGAACAAATGGTCCGAGTCACATCTCGTGTCTTCAAAGATTTCATAGGAAGGGTTGGACGAATAGTCCTTTTAGACTACGACGAAGGAGGACATTTAAATTTTGATGACTTCAGGGGTGATTTTGTTTGCCTTGGTAAGATTGCAAATAAAATGTGGCCTATTTTCTGATAAAATCATTCAAGCAGTGGCACCTAACCTTAGATCAACAAACGTTTGGTCCAGAAATTTCGCTAAAAGGATTCATGCTCCTATAACAGACATCACGAAGTGTCCCCTAATCGTAATGCATACCAGAACGCAATCAATTACGTTAGACATGAAATAATATAGAAATTAATACTAACTGCGTCCAATACGAACTGCCCAAGGTTCGTGTTCTATGAGATTCTGGAATTAACTCTTCAATAACTTTTTTTTTGTATGGTCTCTCTTTAAATTCCTTGCATAGCAACTATGAGCGAAATTTAGCCTGCGTAGCCGGCGGGGTCGTTCACGCGAGGAAGGTTTTAGCAGAGGAACTGCGAAGCCGTTCGCAGAATGGGGAGGAGATGTTTCTCGCGGCAAAGCCTCTAAAACTCTCACACGCACAAAAATAATCCCGCCTGCAACACAGGCTACACGAAATTTGAAGTTGACTATAGAAAAGCATCAAGACAATCTAGATCCACTTCCCTTGTTGAACAGCTTTCTGTTATGGATAGGAAAACTCCGTTTTTTTTAATTCTGATTAACTCAAACGTTCTCAACACATTCTTTAACACAATTTAGACGAACCTCCTTGTGACATAACAAAAAACTGGTGTGGATGGAGAAGTTTACGTGGTTGGAAAAGAATCAGTCATAGAGATCTTGAGCAGCAAGGCAGTCAGGAATCACGTGCTGATGACAACGCAGATAGCACAAACGAAAGAGGTACGTTATGTTGGTTTTTTAAAAATCAAAGGTCGCTTTGTACTGTGTTCAGCCATTTAAAGGTCAAATGAACCAAAATTTCGACCCTTTTTATTTTCGTTCAATTCTAGTGAAATGTGTTTAATATGAACCAAATAAACATACTATGAACTTTCAGCTCAATTGAAGCAAGTATCTCCGAGACATTCGCAATTAATAATTGCTATTTTTTGGCCCTTATCTTCGTAGAGCGGTCGGAAAAATTGTCGGAAAAAACAGCTTGTGAGGTCAATGTTGGTCGGGTGAAAAAACCGGGAAATTCAAAACAGAGTTTTTCGAGTCGACTTGGCGCAGAAGTGGTTTGTGCAGCCATAAACCTGGAAAGAACAGGCAATTTGTCGTCAAAAGATGCAAGCTGTGTTTATAACCTTCTCATTATTTAATTTTCTCGAAGAATACATTATAGTAAAACGGATTTTAACGACATTTACTAATTTCCTTGAGTTGTAAGGGAAATGTGCGTACGTAAGTTCGGTTTTTTAAGAGATGCATTCACAAAATGTGTTCATGTAAGGAAGTTCCTGGATATATAAGGTCCGGAGCTCCACCGGGGACACAAAAACAAAATATCTTTGTATAATAATCTGCCCAAAGAAATTGAAGTTTGTCCACAATGTGTTTGAAGTCACTGAACTTTGTCGCACTCGAGCTGATATTTTAAGGCCCACGCTCGATCGGACACTTGTAGCTTCGCAGATCACTCAAATATTAACAAAATCCTTAATATAGAAGTTTTGGCGTTCATATGTGGGCAGAAAAAGAGTTAATCTTTATCTAGTAAATCTTCCCCAAGATCGGTTTCAAAGCAACCATAGTTTTTTAAACTTGATCGTTTCGCGCAGATAAATTTTGCTTTGTGTTGTCAAGTTGAACATGCATAACACCTGTCAAAAACCTACGCGTAAGTAAGATTTCCTTCAAACAAAGTTAAAGTTACATTATTGCAAAAACTTCTTTCCAGTTATTTATAAGATTTAATTACCTATTGAGGTCACTTTAAGGACCATAGACGCCACTTTACTAGTAAGCTGGCAAAGAGATGCGACAAGCAAAGAACAATTCCATCATGCTTAATTTAACTAAAAAAAACTTCAGTAAGGTTGCAAAACAACAAATTTTCTTTACAAAAACATAAGGTTTAAGGCTCTTATACCTGCTGACAAAAAAGAAGTGAATTTTCTGTACGGAAACAACCTACCTAAAGATCTTAAAAGCAAAAGATAAGTCGCAAGCTTATCTTTTGCCAAGCCATGATTCCGACTACTTCGCTGGATTAGCTACTTTTAATAACTGGTCCAAAAACTGAATCATTAGAAAATACAGAAAACTGCACATAAGGATTTGTTTTGCTCGCTTCAGTCAAATCCAGCTCCAGCAATTGTTTACGGGCAAAGAGTCGATTGTTTTGGAGTCACTGCCGGCAGTTGTCGTTCTCCGTTACTTCACAGCGAGTGAAAGGAAAACTTGCATACAGAAAGATAAAAAAAAATTAAAGGAAAAAAAATTTGACTATTATTACTTGAGTAACAGTAAAATGATCGAAGTAGTCTTTTCTTCTCGAGTAAGCTTGCTAGAATTCTATAGTTCCGAGGAAGTTTTTAAAACTTGAAAGCTTAAAAGCGCACAAGTTTGTTCAGTGGCATGCGTTAGCATTACGATTCTTTGACTGAAGACAAGGATAAAGCTGGTTTTGCAAAAGTAAATAAATCTGGGCATGTAAATAAAGTAACCATAACTACTAATAACAGAATACAAGCAGGTTTTAATTCAACCCGGCGAAAGAAGGCGAAGCACTGGACACAAAATCAACTCACAAATCGAATGTACAATTATCAGAAAAATACAAACCTGTTTGGAAATGTTCAAAACTTTTTATTCCACCTAAGACTGACGGAATGATCTGTTTTTACTCTAACTTTGGTTGTTCTGAATCCCAAAGTCATTTTCAAGTGACGAAAAGACAACAACAAAAACAAAAAAAACCCTTTACAAGGAGCAAAAGTTCGCACCTCGTGTATTTCATTCAGTCTCAGTCAGAACTCTCACAGAACAACACAGACAAACGCAGGCGATAAGGGATGCGCAGAAGCTTGCGCAGAACGTTTTTCCGCCCTGAAAGACCAACATTGACGTCGTAGAACCCAGTCTATCACGCGGCCATTTCAGAAACGTTTTCGCGAAGTCTTCGGAAATGCTCGGATTTTGATCTTTTATCTTTCTATAAAGGCCTGGGAAGGAAAATCTTTGCCCAAATCTCACTTAGGATGCTTCTTTTTAGTGTTTGGTGAAGGAAAAGCGACAAAAGAAAATATTTCAATTTTTTGGTTCATTTGACCTTTAAAGTTTGGCGGTCTCCTTTTATTTGTTGAACGGGACTTCAACCTTTCAACTGTTTTTGGACGAGAAAAGGTTGTCAATGGACACCAAATCAGTGACGCAAAAAGTAAACATTCATGCCTGGCAACAGATCAGCGGACTCTGTAACGAAAATGTTTGATATTAATTTTGCTTAGAGTTTACTTAAGCCATCTTTTTCTCGAAAATTCGTTTCCAACTTACAGTGCGACTACTCGAACCGGGGCAATTGGAAGAAGATTGTTCAATCAAAACGATTTCTGAAAACAACAATTTATCAAATGTTTTTGCAGAGAACAATAAAATTAAAGATTAAACTATGGAACCGCTGAAAACTTTAAAACCGTTCGAAGCTACCTGACCTCTTAGGAAACCATCCTCAAATTAATAAATGTCATTAGTCCGCTTGCAAAAGAACTTAACAGTCTTTTGTTTCCAGAAATCTTTGTGATTAGACAATCTTCTTCCAATTGCCTCAGTTTGAGTAGTAGTACTGTAAAAGAGCAAGACCAATTGCCGTTTGTTCCCTCAATTTAGTTGCAAAGCTATCGAGGTGTATGGTTTGCGAAAAAAGGCGATTTATTCGCTTAGTTTACTTGGTTTTAATTTCTTCTATTATCTGGCTGAATCCACGAGCGGGAAAGGTGAAGCGAATCCTGTGTTCTGATTGGCTCCCCGAGCGAACAAGATGGACCTATCTTACACTCTTGGGATTTTCCGCCTTGGTCCCGCAAGAAAAAGGTCTCATTTGGCCATATAATAAATCCTCTATTGACCAAGCTTGTTTTGTCTTGATGAAATGATATTGGCCTCGTCCGTTTGCGCTTTTTAAGTGACTTCGACTTCGCCTCTGTCCATGAAAACCCACTGAAAAAGAACCAGGGTCCGGTTCCTGAAATGTCGATTACCGTTAATCCAAGATTAAAATTTTGTTCCGCTTTTGTATTTTACATTCCTATACATTGCTTAGGGTAACATTTTGTGCTATTATTACTGTATCTCGTAGTAAAGACTAAACATTATATTGTAACCTCGAGTTGCATGTTGTTAGACGAGAATACCATGCTTAAAATTTTGCTTAATACTGGCTTAAACTTAACCATCTTTCGAGGAACCGGGCCCTGACCAATATCCGGCCAATTTTTTCTCATGCTTGGACAATAAAGTGTATAAATACAAGACCGATAAGAGACGTTTATAACGTACATTTGGCGTTGATAGTAAAAGGGAATTTAGATAGTACTAGACCACAAATATATGAGTCCCTGTTAGCAACGTGACCAGAATGGGTCGTTCGCAGTTGATGGATCAGAGTACTTACAACAATTACCCTATTACATGGTCGACGGAATCGGCTCCCCCACTGGACAGTTATAGGACCATCTCAAATAACTACTAGGTACATTTATGTCAATAATCCAAATGCTTGCAAGTTAATGATTTCCAATTCTACAGTTATAGAAGTCATTGATCTGGACAACTACGAAATCCATCTTCCCGACGAAAGTCTTGGATACGTGTCTTTGTCGGATATTCCTCCACTTTACGTTGGCCTTACTTCGTGCTTCTGGTTGAACACGGTGCATAGTGGTTTTGTTATTGAGTACAAAGTTGTATCAGAACAAAACGAATCAACTGTTCTTGGATTCTACTATGACAAAAGCACCTTTAGAATTCATTTTTACAAGATAATAAGGTAAATTGATGCTTATGGTTAAGTAAAGTTAATTCAGGCAAAATCGAAAGGCAAAGGTCTGGAGAAAGGGGTAAGCTGCTCATATGTTTTTCCCTACTTCTCTTTGTTCTCTTGTTACTGTCTGTGCCATGCAAGGCGGCAAGATCATTATACAGAAGGATTGTCTTTCATTATAATAGAAGCTTCAGGTTTCAATTTTTTTCCATGAACTCATTAGGACTGCAAAAAATTGAAAGCTATTTGGTGGCCAGCACTAAAATGTTTACGTATTTCTGTGGAGTTGATAGGATTTTCTGAGTCTGTTGTCACTAAAATTAGAAATCCTTACTTAAGACCTACCTAAGACCTACATTAAAATTTGTAAGCAATAAACTGTACAATGTTTGATATTGCCTCGTGCACAGAGAAATCGAACTGGATGTGGCTGATGGATCGTGGCACCACCTGTGTGTGACATGGGAACGAAAAAATAGGCTGCTAAGTGTTTATAAGAATGGTCAAAGAAAATACCTGTCCAACGAATATAAAGCAGGCGCACGGAACAGGAGGATTGAAGGTACTCTGCCATTACTTAAGTGGTATACTATTTACTCATTATACAGTAGAACCTCTACCACCCAGCTCTCCACAATGGTCACTTTTTGGTGTCCCAGAGGATACGTTCACTCTTGTTCTATTGTTTTAAACTCTATATGACGTACCTCTCACATCTCCTAAGGTTTAACTGTATTGTACACTTACAGCTTCTAAGCTTGGGATTTCCTTGAGTTAAATTTTTTGGGGTTTTTTTACCACAAAGATTGATTCCCCCCGAATGTGCTCCATCCTTCTGCAGCATTTTTCCCTGAATAGGTTGAATCCTCAACATCAACTGACGAATCTTACACTAAACTATACTACTCGAGTCGAGTTAGCAAGAGATCCGAGTAACCTACTGAGGGAAGTGATTCTGATGCCAATGAGTTCGTTGTTCTTACAAGTCTTACAATTCTACCCTCAATAAATCGTTTATCAAAGTTGTATGAATAAAACTAGATTATCCACAGTAAGTAATCACGGGGCGTGAAATTGTAAAAAAACAATAATATGGCTTTGAGGCTACATAGAATGTATTGCAGCACCTCACCCTAATATGGCGTATGCTGCTATGCCTGTTTTTTTGTATTTTTCTCCTACATCTTTTTGTTTTGCCGTTTGTCCTTTGTAAGAATCCTGATAAATACATCTACGTTATTTTGGAATATATTGACAGTAATCAAATAAGTACACAAAACACTGTTTATATCTTATTTTTTGTTTCGTTCTTGCCACCCCCGATAACTTTAATGTTATTTTATTTCCCTCTAATGTTTGCTTTATATCAATGGTCAACAGTATTTGCTCTTAAACAATGAATCTTTTTCAGGCGGAGGAACCATGACAATCGGTTTTAGATCGCCCTACCAAAACATATCAGCCGTGCTGGGTAAACTGAGCGGATTCAATCTATGGAGCTACCAGATCAAAGCAGAAGAAATACTGCGCATGTCACAAGGTTGTGGTAACGAGGCAGGAGATGTGAAGGCATGGGAAACAGTCAGCAAAGGATTGACAAAAGAAGTGGAAGTAAAGTGGCATAGATCATGCAGAGATAGAAAAGGTAAGTTTTATCTCACAAGTTTAATACCACCTGACAGGCAACAAGATTCGGTACGATCAGGGAAAAGAAAGTTCGCACTTACTGCAGTTTTTAAGCGCGTCGTATCTAAGCTTTGAATAGTCTCCCCGCAGACGTCCTTTGGGGTTCGTTTGTCACGCATTCATCGTGACAAACGAACCCCAAAGGACGTCTGCGGGGAGGCTAAGCTTTGAACAAAGAACGTGGAACTCGGTGACACATGTGTGCCTCCGCTGACGTTAGAGGAGTGCTTTCCGATAACAGCTCACATGGGATGGTTAAGTTTGTTCTCCTATCTCAATTCTCTTTGATACGACTTTTCTATTTAAGACTGTAAGGCTGAAACAACCGCAAACGTTAGCTATTTCGGGTAGGCGCAGAAACAACTTCATTACAAGTTTAGTATCTTTTGTCAGTAGGTTCCTGCTTTTGTTCCATTTGTACATAACTATTTTGAGAGAAGCAGGTTAGTTTGAACTGACCTCAACTCAAGTTAAACGAGCCACTTAATGAGAAAAATAGGTGTCTAGAGTAATCGGTCCCTGGTGCCTCTTACTATTCGTTACCGGACCTGTGTTACCATTGTTTTTCCTCATGTTCAACAGCTGATCGAATTGTGTTAGACACCAACACTACACTCCTCAACCAAACAGCTATCCTTGTGAGCCAGAAGTACAACAGGTCGCGTGATTGGCATACAAAGTGCTTAAAATTTCGTTACATGTTGAGAGGGCCTGGAAGGAAGAGTTTAACAATTTACCAACAGACTGGTAACTATCGAGAAGTCCCTATTTGGATTTGGAAAACTAGGACTGGTAACAACTGGGTATACGGCCAAGTCCCTTTAAGCGCTGTATCAGCGTCTCAGGTAAAACAGTAAGAGAGATACCCCCAAATACTCAACTACGCATTGCTACTTCGCATAGATTGGTGTCCTACCCGCCAGACTCTAGAGTAGCTTATTGAGACTGGACACTAACGAGCGAAATCGTTGGTGTAGTTTATTACAGTAAATTTCTTTTGACCTTAAATTGTAAATATTTTATTATCCAAATCCCTCATGAGCTTTTCAGGGACGCTGATTTTGGGACTTCTGCCAGATTGCTTGTGGCGCAATTTACAATTAATAAAGTTATGACTTATTAAGGCTCCCTACCACAACAGGGACTACGTACCCTACACTCTTAAAAAAATGGGTGTGGGCATTGGTTTGAACCAGTGGCCTCCTGCTAAGAAAATCTGTGGTTATTCAATTGAGTTAACTAACCTAGTGACGATGGCTTTTATACATCATGGGGAAAAATTTGCAAAAAAAAAAGAGGCACTGGGCAATAACTCTAACCAAAGAAGTCTCAGAAACATTTGAATTCCCTGCTTCGGATTGGCCAGAAGTGCAGAGAATTGGACTTTAACAAAATTGGGTGGCGGTGTTGGGTAACCAGTCGATATAAGTATGCACTGGTTAATAGCCAAACTTGCGTATTAGTGTTTGGTGAGAGAAAGCGGTGCCAGTGCTAACGCAGTCTTATTAATAGGTCTTTATAAAAGGTAAAGTTGAGAAGAAAGAAGCCTTCGTGGCATTGTCAGGACTGTACGTTGAGGAGGACCCGAGCATTCATTGCCAACACCTACCGCAGTTAGCAAAACAAGGTATACTGTCATTGCCATTTCCCCATAAGTGTGTCCTTTAGGTTACGTCACATATTAAAGAAACAGTGTTTAACTCTACAACAGCATAAATCAGGGAGATAAAAGTATCACTTAGCGTGACATCCTGAACAAGGAGAAGACCTTATCAGCTTTCGCTACGAGACATCCGTTCTAAAACGGAAGCAAAGTTAAGGTGGACAAACTCCAAATGGCGTATAGTTTTTGGCGTTTCAGGCTAATTCGACATCCTAAGTATTTTTATGGACGCTGTGCGTCTGTCGTTTCCGCATTTTCAGATGTACATTTAACTTTTTCCTTATATTCCTTACAAATATGGTAAGTTAACCCCCTGAGGGGTTAGGGCAAGTCTCTGTTGTTACTATAAATAGTAAGAGGGTAACCCAGCTAGTACAAAGTGCCACATTGACGGAAAGCACCAAAACAGAGCCCCTTCACCACAACCACAACCAACAGCTCTATTTTGGTGAGCAATGCAAAACCTACCGAACGTCGGATGAGGTTCTCTTGTGCCAGTGGCCAGCATGTAATCTTAGGTAGTAGTGGCGACACAACGAAAGCATACCCCTGGCTACCGAAAGGATGTGTGATCAACCAAGGAAACGTCTGTCATAACCTAAGGCCTTGCAAGGCATTTTTCGTCACGAGTAAAAGCATTTTTAAATATTAAAAATCAGTTTCGTTTCTTTTGCAGCCTGCAGCGAAACCCTATTCAATACCTCAGGAAATTTCTTCTCCCCGTTCTTTCCTGGATTTTACTTTGATGACAGCTACTGCACTTGGCACATAACTGTTCCAGAACAAAACATAATTCGCTTGACCTTTCAAGAATTTCGTCTGAATGATCATCCCACCTGTGAGGACTGCTTTGTTGAGATTTTTGACGGAAGTGACGACACTGCACCCTCTATAGGCAGGTTCTGCGGCTATAGCTATCCTCCGATACTTTCCTCTTCGTCGAATCACTTCTCTGTTGTTCTTCGGTGTCAAGGGAAACCCTTCATAGCAAGATTCAAGGCCTCTTATTTCTCAGTTGCTGGTACGTTTCAGTTTGATTAATTGCTTTGTAACCACAACTTTTGCGACACTGATTGTTATTTATTTCTCATGAAATATAAATTTGAATTACCTATGACATTATAAGGCGTATAAAAACCAGTCACAATTATGACTTTAGCGTTAATAAATCTCTGTAAGTGTCCGTGTAATATAAAAAAAGACTTTTTTAAAGTAATCAAATGATTTTTTTTGTGGTCTTCGCAGATTAGCCTGGTAACACTGTGTAAAGGAAACAACACAGACTAAGAAAACTCTTTCTTCTTCTTAAGTTCGTTTGAATGGCCAGTGTCCATAGTAGTAAATGACAATGATGATGTCTAGTAGAGTCGAAGTTCTAATAAAGATTTAACTGCTTTGATTTTTGTTTCAGCTTATGACGATAATGGACTTTCGTGTTTACGTCAGCAAGGTAAATTTCACATCATTATCATTCCTCGACTGTCGTTGGAATCGATGCTACTGTCTTTTACTTAATGCTAATCCAGAGAGGAGCTATCGCATTTTGCAATAGCCCGTTCTCCTTATTTCCTGTGTTAATTCTACTAATTATAAACTGTCATACATATTCTTGGAAAAAAATAACTTCCACTGTAATTTTAAGGCAGGCGTCGCTATACCTCTTATGTTTGTAAAATCAATATTTCACTGCGAAACAGTATTTCATCGCATATCGACTCTGACAAGGTTGATATTGCAATAAAACACAAACCTGAAGTCTTAAATTACTTTAAAAGGTGACATTAGTGGTATTGTCCTCTTTTGCACAGGAATCGTATCAACGTGCTTGCATTAGTAGTATAGGGCTCACCAGCATCATTTCTTGCGGGGAAATACATTAATGCCAATGACGTCATAGCCTTTTGTCTCTAACTCATGCAAGTAATGCGGGGGAGTCTCATTACGATATGGTCATGTCCTATTTTGAAGTGGTTTTACTTGTTTGCCAAGTTTAAGTTGAGCGAAGTCATAGTCTCTTGTCTTATATCCTTGTTTTACTACGCCATTAGAAACAATAGACCCACCTAAGGAATAAGAGCTAACTCGCCCGACTCAAAACCACTGAGTATTAACGTAATCAAGCAATTTCTATTTCCTGCCCATTTCATTGTCCAAAAAGTTGTTCCACTTCCAGATCAGTGATTCTCGGGTGCCCGTATTTATAAGTTTGAGAACTCGTGGGTGTTCGTGTTTTCAGGGTGCCCATCGAGTTGCAAATGTGACGAATTTGGTGAAGGTCAAAGTACAGGCAAGAGAATAATGGTGACAGGAGAAGATTTGCTGACTGTTCCGACTGATCTTCCCTCCAACACTGGAGCTGTGTAAGTTTACAACAATTGAGAATTGCCAAGACTGTAAAGGACAGTGTCCGATATCGAGTATTTAAGTAACGGCTAAATGGAAACCTATGACTTAAATGATAATTTTAATCTCACTGTCGCTCGTCTTGTCAAGTCTTTTCCTAAAATGTACTTGGCCTTTGTTGCTCTATTTTAGTACCATTAAAAACAGAGCTTTACTTTCGTTAGACGAAAACAAACAGACTTTTGCAAAGAAAGTGCTTATAAACGGACGATAGCCTATTTTGAAGGCTGCGCCAGTAAGTGTTACAAGTTTCAGTTACTCGTGAAAAAACTGAATCCTCCCAAATAGCAAGAGTTCAAAAGAAAGCAATTCAACAAATGTCTTGCTTTGCGCTGCCTTAAAATATGCAGGGAAGGTGAGATTGGTGCGCATTCTCTCATTGCAGAACGCCAAAATATAGTAAAATGTTTCTTTTGTACGTATTTTCTACCTTCCAATTTATTTAAGCCCGTCTTATTGAAAAAGGATGAACAGCTTCCTTCCTTTCCTAGCAATGCCGTATATCATCCCCGAATATTAATCTTGACATTTGCGCTGCAGATTTTTCCAGAAGAACCGAATATCTCAATTAACAGAAAAAGATTTTACAAATCTCCATCATCTAGAATACATGTAAGTATGAAAAGTATCTTTTAAAATGTATCTGTTTTAGTTTGCAATGATATGTGCGTGCTTTTAGAAACCAAACGTTAGTATAACTGTACTTTTTCTAACCTCGGTTTAAGCGACCTGAGCTACAACATTCTTCTTCGCCTTGATGGGGACTCGTTCCAAAACGTCACCTCAATCAAAACACTGTAAGTATTGAATTTCGAATGTGCATTTTCTCTCTTGCAAAAATAGGCCATAATTTATAACTATCCTGGATGGGCAAAATCGTTAAAGAGTTAAAATACCGTATTTAGGTGAACAGGAACAACGTTAGCCTCACGTCAATGGGTCATTTGAAGGGTTTAGAGTTTCTTACGTGAAAAAAAAACATGTACAAAACAAGTAAAGTACCGCGATCTATAGAATACACCTTTTTACCTTGAACGAGAAGTCCAAAGACTACTGCAAAACTGATTCAGAACAACGTGTATTGTTTTTTAAACATAACAATATTTCGCCTGGCCATACCAGCCTTCCTCAGGTTTACAGATGTTACTGAACTTACGTAGGAATCACAATATCATATAGATGGAGAATGTCGCAATAAAAATTGTTTGAAAGGGAGAGGTGGAAATGACGTACAACACAAAAACTGGAAAGGCAAAGTACTAAGGATATGAATTACAATAATTCGTCACGGCGGTTTAGGCCATGAGGTTCAAGAGTCATGGCTTTATCTATCAAATGCGACTCCCTGGCCTTACGAACTGAGTCACGTGAAGAATGTATGATTTGTTTTCCCAATTCAGACCACGTGATGTTCTCCAGGGAATTTGCCTTTTGTCTTTTCGTTAATTATGCATACATAGGCACGTGGATGCACGTGTATAAGACGACATTTGAAAAAAAAAACAGTTCTTTGGGGTACAAGCTAAAAACGTCTATTCTTCTTAAGTGACAGGATAATTATTTGTATTGGGCTTAACGAATTTATCATTTGATCATGTATCATGTCGTACACTAACACGTTGCGGTGTCGAAATTAAAACATTCTGTGGAGCTAGGCATAAGCTCAACATATCTCTCATAATCTCATTACATTGCTTTTTTCAGAAGACTGAATTCCAACTTTTTACGATCTCTTCCTGCCAAAGGATTCGGTAGAATTCCTAGTATACGCGTTCTGTAAGTATACAACGAGTTTTGTCAGTCTTATATTTCGTTTGTTCTTACCTTGCTGTGGTTACAGATCAGTGACGTGAACAACAACGGTATTGAAAAAGGCCGGTCAACACTGGTTGAAGAAAAAAATAGGACAGGATGACAGGATATCTAAAAGTCTATTACTACTACCCTAAGATCGCGCTCAGATTGCTTTACCTTGTCGAATACTATAAAGGGCTGATGAGGGTGTTTTTTCTGGCATGAGTATGATAATCACATCCGTCTCAAATAATATTTTTATCCCTTTTTTGTAGTGACTTAGGAAGGAACCTCCTTCGCAAAACAATGAAAGAAACATTTTATGGTCTGTCAAGCTTAGAGATTCTGTAAGTACAAAGATAATTGAGTAATGATCATTTCTTTATCATAGGCTTGATTCTACCAACTTTGTTTGTATTGTAGAAGCTTGCGTTCGAACCAAATAGAGAAGATGGAATATGGTGTATTTACCAACAAAAGTAACTTGACACATTTGTAAGTATATTAACAAATATTGATTTTCAACTCCTGGGTACAGCTCCCAATATTTAAGCTATATCAGTATGTGCTGCGGGATGAGGCATACAGTTTGCGAGGAGCTCAGTCCTTAAATCGGGTTCACAATACAAATACAATACAATAACTTTATTTAAAGAGGGAAGCGCAATAACCTATTACAGTTTTCTAACATACGGTTCCTTGGTGGTATCGCGTTCCTTTAATGGTTATTTCATTATTGACATTTCTTTCGTGCAACTAGGTATCTTCAAGAAAACAAGATAACAACATTGCCTGACGGCCTGTTTGAGTCCCTTTCTAAGCTCAAGTTCTTGTGAGTATATGAATTTGCATATAATGTATGGCTGTGTTATGTCGAGCACTTGGTGACTCTTCTCTAAGGAAACAGTAGGTTTTGTTTCCAGAGAATCTCTATGTTACCCGCGACTACAAAGTGAAGAGGTTAAAATAACTTTGCCTAATAGGTATAGCAATGCAGAATCTATTAATCAAATGTGGAATGCTTAAAACTGAGAGTTTTCTAACTGCAAAGAAAGCACCACCTGCATCTTAACGAAGTTCTTCACATGAAAAACATCGATCTGGAAGCAGGGCTACCTTGCCTCCAAATTATGTAATCACTTCATTGTTTACTTATTTGACTTCTTACTAGGGATCTTAGCAACAACCAGCTGACTACAGTCTCAAGGAAAACCTTCCGTGGATTAATATCGTTAGAATACCTGTAAGTATTGCAGAGCTTTTACTTATTGCCGAAAGACATTTCCGACAGTCGCTTTGGCTTTGCATTCCAATGTCTTCGAAAAACGTGCGCCTCTAATTTTAGTAAATTGGTGTAAAATTATCTGAACACAGTTACCGAACAAAAGTAGTATCTTGCTGTCGTTATCACTGTAGACACGTAACATTTATGTCGGCATTTTTAATACTGTTTTTGTGTTGAATTGTACGTTCTGAGCACGCTTTTTTGTAAAATTCCGATTTTTCCTTTGCAGTTACCTGGACAAAAATAAATTGACAGAAGTATCACCTGAGGCGTTTAGTGAACTACGTAACATGAAATATTTGTAAGTAATTTATGTAGTTATCCAATGCTTATACCTTTTGTTGAACGCTTTCATCAAGATAACGAGGAAGACTTGATTTAATTTTTCACACAGGAAACTGGACCGTTTTATCCTTTGCTGCTATGCTAAAAAATCCATCAGTGGAGTGGACTGCGACTCCCCAGTGGATGAATTTTCCAGTTGCGATGACCTCATGAAGAACAACACGCTTCAGATTTGTATCTGGATTCTTGGTATTCTAGCCTTTGTCGGTAACCTTCTTGTGATCATATGGCGCGCAAGTGATAAAGAGGAGAACAGAACACACTCCTTCTTGTTGACAAATCTGGCATTTGCAGATCTTTTTATGGGTGTATATCTGTTGACAATAGCCGTGATGGACTTAAGATGGCGGGGAGAGTATTTCAAGCATGATGTCAAATGGAGATCTGGATTGGGTTGTCAAATCACTGGAGCTCTTTCCATGCTTTCAAGCGAAGTGTCCGTTCTAATTCTAACCATCATTACTCTTGACAGACTCGTTTGCATCGTCTTCCCTTTTAAATTCAAGCGTCTCACTTATAAGGCAGCCGTTTTAATTTGCATCGGCGTGTGGGTGTTCGGTTTCGTTATCTCACTGATTCCGATCAGCGGTATAAACTACTTCATCGACGAGAACGGAAACTTCGGTTTCTATAGCCGCTCAGCCGTTTGCCTTCCATTGCAGCTATCTGCAGCAAGACCAGCTGGATGGGAATACTCAGTTGTTTTCTTCGTTGGTTTAAACTCTATATCTTTCATTTTCATCCTGATTGCATACATCTCAATGTTCTGGACCGTTAAACGCGTTTCCCGTGCTGTGCGATCCTCGAATCTGAAGAAGGAATCAGCCATGGCCAAGCGACTAGTCTTCATAATAATGACCGACTTCTGTTGTTGGATGCCAATTATTATTATCAATATCCTATCTCTAACTGGGAACTTTTATGATCCCAATAAGATTGCTTATGTGTGGATTGCCGTGTTTGTGCTTCCTCTCAACTCTTCTCTTAATCCAATCCTGTACACATTTTCCACCAAAAGGGCAAAGAGAAGCCTTAACCGACGGCGAAAAAACGTGACTAATTTGGTTCTTAAATCAGTGCAAAACAGGCGTTTACAAGGTATGTGGAACACGGTTTTGCTTATGAATGTAAACTTTGAAGTGCTGTCTCTTTGTTGCAAAGTTTCTAAGAGGTACTAAGTCAGACTCGTACACATTGGCTATTTACGTGTTTTGGGGTGAGAGAAGATTGGGTTTAGGTTGAGGTGCGCGGAGACTCATGGGACCCCGTGTGCCTCAACCTAACCCCAACCTTCTCTCCCCCCAACCCCCCCCCCCCAAAAAAAAAAAAAACAGGCAAACAAAGCACGTAAACAGCCACTGGCCACGAGCTACGAGTCTGGTATTAAGTTGTACTCACTGTTTTGAACAGCAACCTTTTTCCCATCTCGTCATTCGTGTCAGGCCAAAGAGATTCCTGCAAAGCCGGAAGCTACCTTTGTAAAGTGTTTTTGATGAGATTATAATTGGGGCTGCTAGAGACAATGGGTGTGTAGCAGCACCGGTGCAATGACTCCTACGTAAGAAAAAAACCTTTGATTTATACCGCAGAGAACGGTGAAATAGATAGGAAGTGCGTTCATCATAATTTTGGACGCATTAAATAAAAATGTTCGTGCTAGTAATATCCAACTGTGCTTAAGGGTTTAGCCTTGTTACCAGAGTAGTTCCGGCAATACATGTTCATACTGTGAAAGTTTTTTCGTACAATTCTGTTTTTAGGCAGGAAACAAACAACTGATTGGTTGAAAACATATGATGACCTCACTCTAGTTTCCAACGTCGTCACTGGTTCCAGTCCCCTTTCGTTAACTAGGGCAACGGAAATCTCGGAACGAAACTGTAAGCAAGTACACGCAAAATTAAGGCTGATTGAAGAAGTTGATATCCTGCAAGACGACACCGCTGGAAAAAGCTCAACAGTAAGTTTGTAGAGAAGAATGTTTCTGCAGATAACGCATAGTTTTGTCCAAATTTCCCTAATACCCGAGTTAATTTGTTCACCATGCTGGGACGTAACAAGTTTATGGCCCCATAGTCTACTAAATAATGGGGCTTTACTGATATTAAAAATTACTATTTTCAAATTTTTTGGTGTTTTGGCCTTTAACCCGTATCTACTTACATCCGTCCATTCGTCCGTACAGCCATTCACATCTAAGTTCTCTTCTTCTTCATCTCTTCATCGTCTCTTCTTCTTCATGGTTGGAACCTTCAATTTTCATGAGGATACATGTAAAGAGGGTTTTCACTCACGTGGTCAGCAGCTATGCAAATTAATTGGAACAAAAGAAAGCTTTACTTTTTACATAAACAAAAGGTTCAACTCCCAGAGGATTGGTTTCGAACACCAACATGGCCGCCGTTTTATTGTTTTCGAACACCAATACGGCGATCATGTGAAAAGATTCTATAATTTAATAATTTCGCTGAAAGATAACCGTAAGCCTGCAGGAGACTAGTAATTGATAACTGATTGAAATTCAGAATGGAACTCAACTCCAGAAAAATTTGCCCATATTTTACCTTGGCTGTCGCCGCCATGATTGCTTAAGTTTCCCATAAAATTAAAGAAACGATACCGTAGTCTTGCTTCCAACGTCTTCTGTTATTTCAGGGCTTTGCTCTCGCCTGGTGTGAAGAGGAAAGTACGTTAAGTATGGTGTTGTTGAAGTACTTTGCTAAAGAATCTAAAGAAGACTGGTCTCGCGAGGTTGATATTGCTAAGAGCCTGTCTTTTTGCGACCAACCGCATGCCAGTCTACTTCGATACCGCTGGCACTCCAAAGGTGAGAAAACTGGAAAAAAAACCCGTAGTTTTCTGTTTATCTGCCATCGCTCGCAGGTTATTATATTTGACGTTTCTTGCTTTGTGAATAGTCCGAGAAAAGTTCCATGTAATAGTTTCATTTTGAGGCTGTAATGGACCAACTTCGATACTAATTCATACTTGGCTCCAAGGCTAGGAGAAATAATGCATCAGTCCCCGACCCTCGGGAGTTAGCGGGGAATTTTAAAATTGGACGCCTGTTAAAACACTTCTAATTTCCTCACTCTCCGGGGCAAGAAGTTAGTTAAAAGCCCCATATAGCGGGGTATTAGTAGACTAGTTCTAGGCTCGATTTGAGCCGCTCTCTTCTGCAGGGTCTTGTTCCTCTCAGAGAGCTCTCAGAGAATGGGCTCTTTTCCCGAAAAACGGCTGGTAATCGAGCCTATAGCAGTTCAGAACCGGTCACAGCAAAACTCGATTCTAAAAAAGTCAACCATATACTTTTAACTATATACCAAGCAACTGCAGGGAAATTTTACTTCTACTTTCCAATTCCATCACATCGTACGTACATCAGACGACTCAAGATCTAGATCGACTCAATTATGTATTTATTTCAATTCAAACCAACGGCTTTAATAGAAACTCTCCACTGCGTTCCTTCAAATTCATTAAAAATATTACTTCACGGGTGCCAGAGAATTTTTTTTCGATTGACTGATGCATAAACAGAAGACCAAAATTTTCTTGAGGTCCAGGAATGCATAATACAGTTCGTTCATTTTATTACCTCTAAGCCCCGCCTGGAGGTACGTATGAACTTTAATATACCAAATTACGGGATAGGGAACAAGAAATCTTTGAAACCGTGTATTACATCTCCTTTTTAGTAATAACTATTAACGTATTTTGCCATAAAAAGGATCCCTTCGTTTTAACTAATTTGTATAAATGTCGCAAGCAAAAAAAAGTTATTCAAGAATAATACAACAAATTGTGCGCATTTACACAATTAAAAATCAAACTTGGTTGTAGTTGTCCCTTGCAGTCACGTGGTTTGCAATTTGCTGTTGCTTCACTTAATTTATTAATAGTTTATTTTTCTTGTTGTCAGCTCGTGATCAAAGCATTGAGCATGGTAAAAAGAAGATAAATGCATTATGCCCAAGAAGTCTGTAAGTTTCATTTTCATTCTCTTTCACAGTACGTTCAACAGTTTTCCTGTTACTGACTATGACTGCAGCGTGGCCGAGTGGTCAGCGCGTCGGACTCGCAATCCCACGGTCCCGGGTTCGAGTCACGCTCTGGCCACTTGCTGGATTTGTTATCGGTTGTCCCGTGTTGAAAGCCTCGGCCACGCTTGTAAATAGCCAACTGGGTGCTTCCTGCCAGTTGGGGTTCTTAATCCTGTTATGTTGTATTTGAATTATTTTGTTTGCAGGTCTACTGGCCAAAAGCAGGATGGGCTCCTGCCAAAAGGCCATTCCCGGGTTGCCCAAAGCCTCTGCTTTAAAGCGAGGCTAAGTGCAAGGCTCATGCAAATAAAACTCATTTTCACAAGAACGTTTTTGTACTTAGCCTCGTTTTGAAACTCGGAAATGGTTTTCCCCTGACCATACTAACAGTCCCAGAAGTATTACCGTAAAATTCCGACAATAAGCCCCGGGGCTTATATTTTTCAAAGGCCCTTTTTGAGGGGCTTATTTTTGGAGGAGCTATTATTCGGAGGGGCTTATCTACGGAGGGAAATTTGCGTTTCAAAATCCATTGGGCTAGTCACTTAGTTAGAAATAAATTTACCGTTTTTGCTCTGTTTTACTTTGTATTTGAGGGCAATTTTCCAAGAACAAGCCCCCAGGGGCTTATACATGGACGGGCTTATTTTCGGAATTTTACGGTATTTGAAAGAAGATCATCGCACTTATAGACGCATCGTTTGCAGTTGTCAAAAGAAAGCCTGAAAAAAATCCAGGCTTGTACGGGATTCGAACCTTTGACCTCCGCGATACCGGTGCAGCGTTCTTAGCAATTGAGCTAATAAGCCATGAAAGAAGATCATCGAAGTTATAGACGCAACTTTTGCAGTTGCGAAAAGAAAGCGTGAAAAAATTTCAAGCTGGTACGGGATTTCTTTTTGCAACCGCAAAAGTTGCGTCTATAACTGCGATGATCTTCTTTCAAATATTTCTTCACCCCGCAGTTCTCATATATGATTTTCATTTATTCATTTATTCATTTATTCAGTCCCAGAAGTCTTTGCGAAAGTTTACTCGGTCCAGTTCCCTTCTCGTCTCTTTAGCTTGATGGTTTGTTTTCCCAAAGTAGGTCATGTGATAATACTCTTGAGAACTGTTTCTTTTAAATTTAGTATTATTCCCGCGCATACGTACGCATAATTTATGACAAAAGAAATGAAAAAATTACCCCTAAACCTTCATTGGGCAAACAGAACAACAAGCTAACTAACGAGGTTTATTTTTGTTTCATTTCTTTGCTGTCACTTCGACTAGGACATTTAGTCTTTCACTTCTTGAGCTTGGATACGGTCTTAACGTTAACAATTCAAGGACTTCAAGAATTAACAGCTATTTGATTCGTACGGAAAAGAGGGGAAGGAAAACGAAAAATATAGATAAAGGGTTCCATCAAGGTCATTAAACTGAAAGAAATACCGAGCTGAAGGCGTAATCAGTTAGTCGAGAAAGGGAGCGAAGCAAACTAACGCCAAGTTGTGAAGGCGGTTACTCATTGTTGATTATTTATTCCCAAACTCATTAATAATTTATAAAGAAAATACAAAGGAAATTAATGTTTAATGAGTGTTTGGAAATACGATGAAAAACTGCTCATTTTTGCATCCTTAATTTCTCCTTCGAAAATCACTTTTTTTGAGAAGTAATATCAAATATTTCACACAGTTTTTCATCACCAGATGAAACACCTCGAAATTCGTCAAAAATACTCCGCTGCGCGTCTTATTTTTCAACTCTCTTCTCGGTGTTCCATTTGGTGATGAAACACTGCGTCTCATGCTTGATATATTACTTCTTATTACTTTTTTAAGACTTATTTGCTACGAGTTTGTGTCCAGTTCCACGTTGGAAGATTTTCTTTGCGATAAAGGTACAGTTCTCAATTTTGACGGCGTCTGCACGGTAGCGACTGACGTGATCAGCGCGATTGAGCGACTGGAGGATCTTGGGATACTTCATAACAACATCTCCACAAGAAATATATTGATTGGTCCTTGTACGAGAGTAAGTAAACCAATGTGCCGTCTGTAGTAAAACTTCCTGTATATTTCCTACTAGAGGAGCCGAGTAAAACACGGAATTCAACCACTGTGAGGTGAAAAGACAAAAGGGACTTGACACGATCGTTTATTCTCATATAGCTTGCCTCGAAGATTCCTCCGGGTTTTTTTTATTTTGTTTTTGTTTTTTGTTTTTTGTTTTTTCGATTTTCGATAGACTTGGTTCCCTTACTCTTTATGAAACTGAATTTTGCTATGGTTGTTTTCAGTTTTATTTCCATGCTTGTAAATTTATCAAAACGACGCGACAAATGAGTTGTATTCAGAATGGGAAATGTTAACCTACAATGCGAAGAAGAGGGAAATGATTTATTTCTCTTCTCCGCTTCCTTTTCGCCTACGACCTCTCGCTGCTGTCTCAAACGTTTTGAGTTAATAAGAAGAAGATCTCCAGACTGGGCGATCCATGAGAGCTTGCGCATGCGTTAACTTAAAAAGTATCATGTAACCTTAATTAGCGCTAATTTTTTGTAGCTTCCTCCAATAAGAGCTGTGTTGGGAGGTTTTTCTCAAGTATCTAAAGCTAATGAACCTGGGGCATATACAAACTGGACGGTTGAAGAACATGGTAGTCATGGTAACGATCTTGAGCAATTTGGACAATTGCTAGCTACATTGCTAGGACACTGCCACGGTTCTAGTGAATACACCCAGGTTTGTCCACATAGTTACAACCAAGAGTCCTATTATGGCTCTTCTTATTACTCATTGCAGAGGCTATTAAGGTCTTACACTATTCTGTGATAGATAATTCTATGTTATCGACTGGGACAGTTTTCACAGTTTCCAGGGGATTTTTGGACTGTAGATCTGGAGAAGCGGAGAGGTCTGTTTCTAGAAAGTCCTGGTAACTTTTCGGGCCCGAAAAGCTGTTTTGTGTTTGCCGTAGTTGCATTCAAGATCAAAGTTTCAATAATTTTGAAAATGATACAAAGAAAAAATCAGTTTACGAAGCAAATTAACCGGTTTGTGAGATAGGAGCTGTGCTACTATTCAGCAGGTTTTGATAAAAAGTTTGTTTTCGGGCCTGAAAAAGTTACCGGCACTTTCGAGGAACGCGCCTCAGGTTTAAGTGCGGACTTTGGTGCAGATTCTGGTGCAGGTTTCAGTGCAGATTTCGGTACGTGCAGACTTCTCTCATTTTGGTGCATGTTTTGGTGCAGGTTTTAGTACAGGTTTTGGTGTAGGTTTTGGTGCAGAATTTGGTGTAGATTTTAGAGCATTTTTCAGTGTAGGTTTTGGTGTAGGGTTTACCACAAGGTTTTAGTGCAGGTTTCGTTGCAGAATTTGGTGCTGACTTGTTAGTGCAGGTTTTGATACAGAGTTTGGTGCAGATTTTGGTTCAGTTTTTGGTGCAGGTTTTGGTGCAGAGCTTGGTGCAGATGTTGGTTCCGTTTTTGGTGCAGGTTCAAGTTACTGTAGGTTTTGGTGGAAGTTTTGGTAAGGGTTTGGCGCAGGTTTAGTTCAAGTTTAAGGTACAAGTACAGATACAAGATACATGGGAACTTTGTGATCCACAAAGCGCCTAATGGCACATTCGTGTATTGATAATAAAGAGCACAAAAGTACTTTCTCACTCACTACCTACTCCCAGGGGGAGGGGGGGTAACTTGGGTTAATTTTTGCTGGGTATGTGCCGCTGGTCTCTGAGAGCCCCTACCCCATTATAGTCTATTCTGTGGCCAATTATAGACCTCATATTAGTCACTTTTGAGCAAATGTAATTTTCTTGATCCCAACTAAGTCACTTTTGATCAGTTATCTACCTTATCAATCTTTTAAATAGGTTATCCTAAATTGAATTCACCCATTTTTTTAGGTTGAATGAAGAACACTTTACTTTTCACCTACAGCTAACCGCAAATGTGCAGAACTTTCGTACCCCAAAAATCCGAAAATGTGCAATCCTATTCAAGTAAATATATTGAAAATGTAACCACGTTATAGTTAATCCAGTCGTGAAAATGCGACCACATCTAGCGGAACATCCCCATTAGCCTAAGTACCCCCCGCCCCCATAGCTATTCTATGTTTTAGATAAGAGTGACTGCCTGCCTGAGTTAAATTAAGTGATATGGTTTTTCAAGATTTTCGTTGACGCACCAAACCCTTTTCGCACCTGTAATCCCATTCGTATTTAGCCACCGTTTTTTAGTCATGATCACAAGTGATCATGATTACCTGCAAGTTACCCAACAAATGCATGTAGTTTAATATTAACCTTTGGATGAAAGAAATAACGTTCCTAACATTGTTTCAATTTCCTTCAACGTTTTTGTTTTAGCTTCATGAGATCATGAACCTGTGTTTCCAGGAAAATTTAGACGGGACAATTCGAGCGTCATACATCCGTGAACTGCTGGAAGAAGCTTGGCTTAACTTTGGGGTTTGGGATACAGCACTTTGAGTAAAAACCTCTATTCGGGTCATGCAATTTGTTTAATACAAGAGACGATTATTATGCCATTGTGTATTTCCATAACTATAACATGTAACTATATCTGGTCTCATACAGTCATATACAGTTTGTTGAGTAAGAAATTGATCTAGTTATCTCTGAAAACTATTAAGTAATTCCTAGCTGATGATCGAGGGGGGGACGTTCTTGCCCCAAAGACTTGCCTCCTCCTGCCTCGTCCCTTTGTGTCCATCCTTGCTTTTGAAACAGCACATGAGGTGTCTTGGTAAAGTTGCACTGCGCCCCACTCAACAGTGGATTCTGGTGACTAGGAAGAGGCTCCGGACGGTTAGACCTCGCTGCCAGAGGCTCGCTATCTTGAGCACTCACAGTAGTTAAGCAGGCTCGGGTTACTGATGTATCTTCGCATGATCCTTCGACTCTTTGCCCGTGAACTCCCCTTTTATTTTTAGTCTGCTTTTCAATCTTGTTGAAAGCGTGATTCTCGCCTCCTCCTAAAGCGTTCCCCACATTCTAAGTAGATCTGACACTCCCTCCCCAGGCCAGCCTCGTACCCAGGGCTTTTCCCCAAGAAAATGGGAGGGGCCCTAGGAAAGCCCTGGGGACGAGGTTGATCCCCAGCCTCGACTCAACGCTTAACGCAAAGCGCTTGATGTCGACGATCTCACACTGCTGAGACCCAATCAGACTGCAACGATCACCAGGGATTTCAAAGTGGATGTAATAAAGGCCTATATGAGAAATGTAAGCGTCAATTTAGATTTGTCTCTGCATTAATATAACTATTTGTGCAATTTCTTAATTTTCCTGTGAACTTGAGCTATAAACATACTATACTATATTAGAATTGTAATATAGCATATTTTATTTTATTTTAACTTATTTTCTCGAAGATATTAACTCTACAGCTACTCTGCAAATTTCGAGCATAAATAAAGTATATGTATGTATGTATTGTATGTCTGTCTGTACGTATGTATATATACAGTTTTACAGTATGCATATGAAATTCAGAGTGAAACAAAAGAAGGTTGTTAGGGAAATCAAGATATAAATATAAAATGCGGGCCCAGGGAAACGGGCCGCTTTCGAAACAATTTCATTCAGGTTATAATAGATAGTTGTCGTCTTTTCCATGTTTTGTATGATTTTTTTAGAACTTTACACAGTATTTAATAAGCAGTGTGTTCTTTACCATTTTTCATGTGATCTGTGCGATGCAGATTATGTCGGGTATAAAATACACAGCCCGACACCTTCATCAACGCATTGCTGAGCACAAAAATTCGGCAATCGGTAGACATTTCTTAGAAGCTCACGGTAACAACAACCTTTTGAGAGAAAACCAATTCACGGTTTTAAGAAAGTGCCAGAGCAAATTTGATTGTTTAGTATTTGAAATGCTCTTCATCAAGAAGCTTAAGCCCAATTTAAATATTCAAACGGACTCCATACGTGCGAAACTCTTTTGTTTAATACTTTCTCACGTTACGACTTTTTTTTTTAGTCAGCTATTGTTGTTTTTTTAGTATTTATAGACCAAAAATCACTAACTTGACTTGATAATGACGTTCAGCTAACGTCGAAACGTCGTCCCTTTTTAGCAATTTTTTTAGTCTTAAAATGATTTTAAGAAATGTTTTATCGCAATTTTTTATAGTTATACACAGTATTTAAAAAAATAAATCGGTGGTAGTTAAAGGAGGGCGGTTAAATTTTGGGATATCATGTATTGAACGTCGTATGCGGTTTTCACTGCTAACCCTATGTAAGGTACGGTAACACGGGCAACAAAAACGGGCAACCTGTTTTGGATCATTACTACAGTAGGTGTTGAAAGCGATGTTACGCTTTTGATCAAACCCGTCTTGCAACAAATCGGGTTGTTGCCAGTTGCATAAATACTGACAACTGATTGGACAACAGTACCCGGGAGTCACGCCATACACGGGACTAAGTTCTCAGCCGGTAAAACGCGCAAAAAGGTATAGATTTTGTTGCAAAAAGTAGAACTAATCTCAACTTTCTCCAAAAACGTTTCGCAACCTGCAACAAGCTAACTGTTCCACGATAGGTTTGATTCGTGGGTGTAAAAATGCGCAACATCGATTTTCAGGTAATTTTGCAGCTGAATATTGCAAAACAAGTTGCCCGTCTTCACTTGTTGCCCGTTTTCCCGTACCTTTAAGCTTGTAAATACATGCAAAGGTTTTCTTTCAACGTTTATTTACTGCACACGAGTGTATACTTAGCTTAAAGGGAGTTGTTTTACAAACGGTAACTACTGAGCGCAGACGGATTACTCGAAAAATTGTTTGCCAATGTAACATTCAAGATCGAGCTTTTTAATAGTCCTGAAAATGATACAATGAAATTATCAGATTAAGAAACAAAATGGGATGGCTACGAGGCTAGAACCCGCATTAAATTTTCTATAGATTTCCACTGGAAAAACGGAAAATATGGCTTTGAAGTTCGAATCCGAAAAGCTTAGTTGAAAGCTGCCTGGATAACGGTGCGAGTGGACAAACGGTACGGAACTGTGGAGAGGATCAAAGTCTCTGGTAATCGCCCTTAATTCTATCGAGTCTCAATATCTTTTGAATCCAGGCTCTTCGAAGATCGCGTGGGTGGTATATATGGGAAAGTTCTGCTACCCACTAGTTAATTTTGCAGTACTTTTTTATAAGTAAAGAAACATCCTTGGATTTCGACTTTCCCTTTTATTGTTTTGTTCTAGCTTTGCCTTAGTGATATAGCTGTCGTCCTTAAACTATGCCATCTCAACAGATTTTTTACATGTAATTTCCCTTGTAAACACTGATTTAAATTTCACAACCTGCTAAATTTGTCGGTTCAACAAACTCAACACGCAATTAGCATAAAGCGGAAGACGAAAAAGAAAATTTAGGAAAAGAAAAAAGCGTATTTCTTTTTACATTTATTTGTGCCTGTTTTTAAGACTCTTTCTTTCCAATTAATCCTTGGTTAAAACAAATAGTTTTCACTTTGATCACCCTTCCCCGAAGTTTCGGAGTTTGTTTTATCTTGTGTAACATTGTGCCTTTTTAGTAGCCAGTTGTTACTATATAAAAACTTGTAATTTGGTGCAGGTCGCAAAAATTTGCGCCAGCCTCATCATGGTCACAGCGTCAAGTTTAAATAATAGCTCTAAACAAAATCAAGAGTTAAACGAAAAAGTCACTTGTCTGATCTCCTTTCTTTTCGATGCAAAAATAACACCACTGAGGGACAACAACCACAGCAAAAAAGACCCTCTTCTCACCTAGTAAAGACTATATGAATCAATTGAATTGAACAACCATTTGCCTTCCGTTGAATAACTTATACCCGTTATCAAAACAATGGTCTACGGAAAACCAATCGTATCTTTTGTTGCGTTCATTTCTCGCACGTGAGTAAATGTGTGTGCGTATTGTTTTCCGAGGTTTATCTTTGATGATATTACAGCCGTTTTTTCTTCTCCGATGTGTGCTTTGTGAGTTAAAACTGTTCCTCAAATTTGATGAGAATTATGAAATTCTCACCACCTATTCAGGTAAGAAAGTACCTAACACATGAGTTTTCTTTTCGTGTTTTTGTTGTCTTAAAAAAATTTACATCACTATCAGAGATTTCGATTATAACGCGGAGGAAACAATTAATGCTAGTATATTAAATTTCGTATACTTCGTTTGGCCCCATAGACTGAATTCAAGTTGCACCAAACTTCACCAACCTGCACCAAGTTGCACCTTGTTGCACCAAAGCAGACCAATCCGCACCAACCTGCACCAACTTGCACCAAAGAGCACCAATCTGCACCAAACTTATCCAATCTGCACCAAGTTGCACCAAACTGCACCAAGGTACAACAAACTGCACTAAGTTGCACCAATCTGCACCAATCCGCACCAAACTGAACCAATCTGCACCAAACGCCACCAACCTGCACCAACTTGCACCAATGTGAACCAAGTTGCATCAATTTCTACCAAGTTGCATCACACTGCAGCAAGTTTTACTAAACTCCAATAATCTGCACAAGCTAGCACCCTTCTGCACAAATGCGCACCAAGTTGCACCAAACTGCACCAACCTGCACCAAGTTGCACCATTTACGACCAAGTTGCTCTAAACTGCAGCAATCTGCACCTATTTGAACAAATCTACACCAAGTAGAACGACGTTGCAGCAATTTCGACCAAGTTTAACCATGCAAATCTGCACCAAGTTGGACCACAGCACAGTACAGTTAAAATCCTCCAAGACGATAAACTTCTTACCATGGAGTTGCACTGGCGACTACACGGTCGACCACTGCAGCGAAACCACTCTTATCCTGTGTAGAACTCTTTGCCTGTTCAATGGAGACATTTACCGGTAATAATTTAGCTATATTTATCCAAGGGTCCCGTTTGTATGGACGCCTAGACTTCGTAAATATCTTTGTTAGCGTAGTGTTTGGACAAAGGTAAATATGACCAATATATTTTGAATATTGACTCCTGATAACATTTCTGAGACTGTTTTTTTTTTATGTGTAGAATGTCGGTCTCGGTGTATCGGAGTCTGAATTCTGTATGATATTAATGATATTATTTTATTTTTATATACCAGGCTTGCGTTCCATATAAGAGGCGGGATCGCAACCATGCCCCCATAAGCTTAGTTCTTGTTGTCACGTTCACTTGCTGGTCCGTAAGCACCTACCTCTTTTCACTGAAATTCCCAAATGCTTTTGATACAGGAAGGTCTGTAAAACTGCCTTGATCTTTACTGCTGAACGTTTGGCCAAAGTATGTGAACTCTGTTACATTGTCCACCACATTTTCTCCGACTGAAAACAATGAATCTTTGTCTTTTTGGAAAGGCGATGGTGAGTCTAAATCGAGAGCAAGTATCATTTAGAATTTCCATGATGGTTTTCACTTCAGCTATAACTTTACAGAACAGTACGAGATCATCAGCATAAAGCAGCCATATGA